AGTTCCAGCGTTTCCTCAGCGGCAACTTGATTAAGCACATCAGATCAGCGCCTTTCCACCCCGCGACCAACGGCCAAGCTGAACGTATGGTGCGGACAACAAAGGAAGCGCTGAGCCGCCTGACGGAAGGGGACTGGGAGCAGTGAATCGCCAAGTTCCTCCAGAGTTCCAGCGTTTCCTCAGCGGCAACTTGATTAAGCACATCAGATCAGCGCCTTTCCACCCCGCGACCAACGGCCAAGCTGAACGTATGGTGCGGACAACAAAGGAAGCGCTGAGCCGCCTGACGGAAGGGGACTGGGAGCAGTGAATCGCCAAGTTCCTCCTGGCGCAGCGAATCACGCCCAACCCGGTAAGTGGCCGGTGCCCAGCGGAGCTTCTCCTGGGCCGGAGACCACGAACCCTGCTGGATCGCCTGCACCCGGACCAGGCTCCAGAACCGAGGGACAAGACCGAACAGCGGGAAGCACCTCGCGGGTTCTTCCCAGAAGACCCGGTGTTCGCAAAGAACTTCAGCAGGGGGCCAGCGTGGCTAGCGGGCCGCATCATCCGACCCTTGGGCACGGTGATGTATGAGGTGTCCACGGAATGTGGGCAGGTCCTCAGGAGGCATATCGACCAGATTAGGCGGCGAATGCTTCCCGAACACACTACGGAGGACGTACCGAGACAGCGGACAGTCCTAGAGGAGGACCCTACTGTGGCTCCAGAGGAGGCGGCGCCTGCACCAGAGCACCCACTCAGAGACGTCCAGCCCCCAGCAGCCGCGGACGCGACCCCAGAATTAGAGGCGGCTGCAGCGGAGGCCCCGGCACCACTCCCGAATTCCAGCTCAGAGGCCGGAACCCCGGAGGTACCCGCACAAACCCCCAGACGATCCGCAAGGGTATGACGGGCCCCATCGTACCTTAAAGACTATGTCACCTAGGGGAGGTTCCGGACTATGGGGGGAGGGATGTAGTGTCCGCTGACCGCCACCGGAGGCCAGTGCACATGCCCGAGCTTCAGTCTGGGACAACAATGGGGACTAGGATCCTAGTCCCTCCACTGGGGGAACCAATGGGAACCATGGCGGGAAATTCAAACCCACCAATGGGACCCAGGGGTGGTCCCCTGGAGGTGTATATAGTTGGCCTGCCGGCCGTTTGTCTGGTCATCTTGTTGTGTACCTAATAAAGCGTGCTAAGCACTACGTCGTCGTCTGTCGTTTCTCCATGCGGCAACCCACTACATAACAATAACCTAATAAAGGAAACCATTTTTCTAAAAATTTGGGGTATATTTCCATTGTGGGTGGCAGTGTGGCTAAGCTGGGCCAGCAGCACTGCTAAGGTGATCCTGCTGGGGTGGTGTCCCTGATGGATTAAAGTACCCTGGCCTACACCTACACCTGACAGAAACCCACCTGTGTGGTGTTGGGGGGGTTGTATTTAAAGGCATCGTGGGGGGAGACAGCAGCAAGGCTAAGGCAATCCTGCTGAGCAAACCTCCTCAGCCGCTGTAAGCATCCCACCTCCTCTCCTACACCTGACAGGCAGCTGCCTGTTCAGTGTAGGAGGGGGAGGGGGAGGAGTATTAGAAGCCACTGTGGAGGCAGGACTGGCCAGATCACTAAGGTGTTACTGCTGGGGCGGGCTCCCTCGGGGCTTTAAGCACCCTGCAACCACTGCTGCACCTGACAGACAACCGCCTGTTAGGTGTAGGAGGTGGGGGAGTGTGTTGGAAGCCATCAGAGAGGCTGGGCCAGCAGCTTTGCTTCACCTCACAGGTGGCTGGCCACTCCTGGTTTCCTCAACTGTCATTAGCTCTCTGCAGTCCCCTGTAACTCTTTTTTTTTAACCTCAGAACACTGAGCTCTGCAGCTGACCAATCAGAGAGTGGGGGGTGCAGGGAGGCAGCTGCCTGGCAGCTGCATAGGAATCAATGGGGGGAGCACATTTTTCCCCTTTTGACCCACTTAGGGGTCGAATTTCTAAAAATCCCTTTTTAGTGAACACCTACGCCATGGTACGAATGCTCTCCCCGAATTTGGTGTCTCCAGGTCCAGCGGTTTGACCTGGAGGTTGATTTTACAGCGAGGGGACTTTCTTTTATATATATAGAAGTGCTATAGGATTGGATCCAGTGTAAAATTCTGCTTGTGTTAGAGTTCTTGTGCAAGTAGAAATGCAAGAAAAAAACTTTGGTGGCCACTTCTGCTAAATCAAATTCATTATCTCTGCACTTGTGTATCTGCTTACACGTGTGCCACCACTTTCTGGGCACTATAAGAAGTAACATGCTAGATGGTGTACAAAATCTTGCATGAACAGAATTGTGTTAAGTCCTTTTATGTTTCCATTTATTTGTTGTTGGATCCAAGCTCAGAGAATCCCGTTAAGGTCTGTTAAATGGGACATACTACTGGACATACTACTGGGAAAGTACTCTTAGGATTGCATGGTTAGAGAAGCCTGAACACTCTGCTTTTGTGTCCCTGATAGGCTGTAGAAGTTTCTTCTCGGGCTCATGTTAACGAATCCTTTTCTCAGGATCAAAATTCATCAGGAGGTCAGTACTGTAAAATGTTCTTGTTGCCTCTTTTAAATGAGGAAATGATACATATTTTTCATGTAACTGTTTGCATATTATCCTGTTAATATAGGTCATATCAACAAGTCTTTAAATTAAGATCTTTGTATTTCCAGTCTCACTGGTCTGGTGTAGGAGTTCTCCCCAGGGTCTTGAACCTGAAGGCAAAAACATTAAAAAGTAAATTATATTTCAAGAATTGGATAACAGCACAATTCACCAGCCTTTGTAATATCCAGGAGATCTAAAACCAAAGTAACTTGTGTATGAGTTGAACGCAGACTAAAATTTTCAGGGGCAGAATGGAACTTTCCCACCTCCTCTGTCCTGTACACTCCACTGATCTCCATGACATTTTACTCTTGGGGGACAGAGGACTCTGAGGAATGACATGGGGGTGGGTCTCAAAAAAGAGGAATGCATGGAAATTGCCAATTTAGTCTGGATCCATCCCAGTGCATGCTGCTGTAAATTGGATTTGGGCTGGGAGGAAAGGATGTAACCCTTCAACCACTGTTTGTTTTTGCTAACAGAGATCAGATGCCCTGTGCTTTATTCCAATAAGAAAGAAAGAAAGAAAGAAAGAAAGAAAGAAAGAAAGAAAGAAAGAAAGAAAGAAAGAAAGAAAGAAAGAAAGAAAGAAAAGATGTGTCCTTCAAATACCTGACTTTCTTCCTCTAAATTGGGAACATTGTTTTGACGTGTAAAACTGAGCAGGGTTTGAAGGGTTAAATCTCATTCATTCTTGCATGTGTAGCCCTGGTCCAAATTTCCTGTAGGTGTTAGGTTGGCTAGAGTCCTAGAGCTGTCAGTAGCTGCATTTTCTATGGCCTCATTGCCATTTTAAAGGCTTTTTGGGTGTCTACCAGTCAACATTTGGGAGGCAAGTGTCTATCCTAGTATGCCTTCAGTATTTAATAATACTTAGAATTTTTATAGTTTATTTCAAGTCTCCAAAATAATCTCAGTAATATTTACAATAGTCCAGCAATGTAGGCTATCAATATTATCTACACATTACTGATAGGGAGTGATGCTGAGGGAATAATGGCTTGTTTAAGGACAACCAATGAAGTCACAGTTGAGGTGCAGTTTGAGCCAGCACATCAATGTGGGACAATGGTTAGAATACTGGACTTAGAATGGGGACCCCCAGGCTCCAGTCCTTAATCAACCATGAAACTCTCTGTGCAACCTTAGGCCAAACAATATCTCTCAAACTAATCTGCCTCATAGAATTGTTGTGAAGATAAAACAGGGAAAGAAAGACCCATGCATTCTATTCTGAGCTATGACGGGGTTGGGGGGAGATAATAATAGATTAAACAGATGGATAGAATCGCTTTTAGCATTTGCAAGTGTTCTCATGTTTTCCTATGTATTTTATTTCTGAAAGAACTCTTTCCGTTTTAAAAAGAAGGGATTTAATATATGTATGTTTTCAACTCTGTGAGGAATGAATACAGTTGATAACCTTGGAGTTCTTTGCTGTTGTGAAAACAAAAGGATTTCAGCTCCTCATGAAGCCTTTCAATATGGAGGAGGAGGCTTTTGGCTTTGGTTTTTTTCTCCCTGAACATGGGAATAAATGTAAGAAATAAGGTTTATTATTTTGGCTAATGCTTTGCATAAGAAAGGTAGCTGCTTTTTAAAAGTTGGTCACAGTGGATCCAGTATGATTACTGTTTTGGTACAACTTAATTCTTGAACAACTGGCTGTTTTCGCTATGTAGGTTCTTGCTCTCTAGAATGCCTTAATGGAGCAATTTGCACAGAGGCTGGAGTATGTGACTGTGAGACATTCCAGGCACAGGGTGAAAGGTGCCAAACTGGTAAGTTTCAGCATTAGGCTAAATTGAAGATGAAATGCTGGGGAATGTTTGTTAAAACAATAGCACCTGTATTACTTTTGCAATTTATTCCAGTTGGTGGCTGTGGTTCAGATCTTAATTTTGATTAGGCAGATATATGTTTGGCTGCTTATTACCACCATCAACACACTAGACCCCATTTTAATCATACTTATCTTTGAGGAAAGCCTGATTTGCACAGATTAGTAGAGGAGTGAAAGAAGAAGAAGAGATTGGATTTATACCCCGCCCTTCACTATCTGAAGGTGTCTCAGAGCTGCTTACAATCTCCTTTCCCGTCCTTTCCCCACAACAGACACCTCGTGAGGTAGGTGGAGCTGAGAAAGCTCATTTGAAAACTGCTCTTGACAGAACAGCTCTGAGAGAGTCATGACTGACCCAAAATCACACCAGCAGCTGCATGTGGAGGAGTGGGGACTCAAACCTGGTTCTCCCAGATTAGAGTCAGCACTCCTAACCATTTCACCAAACTGTCACCAAGCTGTTTTAAATGTGGTGATAGAGACTGTTCCCCATGGTAAATCAGTTGTGTGTAGCTGTTTGAACATAGAGCCAGGGATTATTCTGACCCTGTGTCATCACAACCTGCCCCACAGGATTTACAGTGGTATCCTTAAAATTGCTGAATCTCCTTGGTGAAGCCATTGTATATGAATTCATTGCTAAATGGATTAGCCTCTACACTGTTGCATTAAAATTTATTTATCTTTAGCCACCTGTCTCATTGCACCTGAAAGTGGATTAAAAACAAAATACAAACAATGCAATCAGACAGCATCATGAATCCCTTTGAAATTAATGGAACTTTACCCCAAGCATTTAGGTTTGGTTTCAAAAGGATGAGGTTTCTTTGCCTCCAGGAACTGTGAAGTTGGGCAACATTTAGTACATGTACTTTTTATCCTCTCTGCAACACTGTGCTGGGAATAGTTGAATTTCTTTCTTTTTTTACATTTAATTTTTTTATTTTATCATGAGCAATACATATCATATTATATAACATTATTGGTATTTACAGAGTAATACAAAATCTGTGACTGTTGATCTAATTTTTTCCATTATGTAATAATCCCAAACATGCTGATACTAAGCCAAGATTGATGGAGAGTTATTATTTTTCCATGAAGTGGCTATTACTGTCCTTGCAGCTGCACACAGAAAGGCTATCAAATCTCGTTGAATTGAGGGGCTCATAGGAGATTGTCAAAGATTCAGAAGCATTAGTTTAGGAGTGAAAGGAATTAGATAGCCTCTAATTTAATGAATTTGAGAGCAGACTAATCTCCAAAAATCCTTGATATAAATACAGCTCCACCAACTATGAAAATAAGAACCTCATTCTCCACATCCTTTTCAGCAATTAAATTGTATTTCAGGATTAATGTAGTGTAGTTTTGACGGTGTAAGATTGAAGTTAACCTAAAGGCTTGTACTTGTATATTTATGGATTTAGACCCAAGAGTTAGAGGAACTCCAGATCTTGGACCATTGCTTTTCCAATAAAACCCACTGTAGATCTCTTTGCCAGGAATTTATGTAAGAAGGTAATTTTGTTCCTTCTAAAGCAAGTAAAGTTTTGTAAAGACACGAAAGAATTCCTCTTTTGGTGTGGCATTAAGTAGTTTTTCAAAAACAGTCAAATCCCGCATTAGGCTCCCTTTAGGGTTTAGATGCTCTATTAAATGCTTGATTTGCTAGTATAGATCCCATGGAATGGAATTGCCCATTAATAAATCTAAAGTGTTTTCATCGAGTATGCTACCTTCTCTCGTTACATCAGTTAGGCGAGTAAGGTTAGCTACTCTCCACACTTGAAAGGTCCCTGGGTATCGTCCTAGCTCAAACCAACTTTGCTCTAGAAAGGTTGAGAGTGGTGAAATTGGAGGAGCTATCTTTTTCCTCCTCGTATCCCAAATTTTAAAGGTGTTAGCTAAAAATATATTGTTATTTGTGGACTTCGGTCTCTCTTTCGAGTTGTTCCAGACTACATCATTTATTGCTTTGGGACGGACAAACAATTGTTCAATATGTTTCCAATCTGGCTCAATGTTTGGATTTAATAGTTTGATTAGATTTGTCAATTGGGCCACCTCATAATAAATAATAAATACCTGGGGGGCAATATCCCAATAGATCTAAAATATCTTTTTCATGACAACTTCTTAACTCTTTATCAATCAATGGCCCTTTTAAAACAATGGGATAACATAACTTTATCATGGATGGAAAAATTAATTTAGTTGAATAGTTGCATTTCTTGATATTTTCTCTCACTGTACTTTCTAGCTCCTGTTGTATCTTCAATCCATGTTCTCTGGTTGCAAACAAAAGAAGTAATTTTCACACAAATAAGACAACCACAACACAACTTTCTTATATGTTTTTTCTGCAATAGGTCCCACTCCTGAAATAGCAAACTAACTTTGAACAGACCATGGCTTGCCTCTGTGGTAGGGGGAGCAATGTTAGAGGAAATGCCAAGTTATTTACCTTGCATATGAATTACTGATTTGGATTGGAACCCATATATCTTGGCCTGTATTTTGCAAAAATAATTTCCTTAAATAATACAGGTTTATGATTCTAGTTTTTAATTTGTCATTAAAAAAAACATGGTTTATGGAATAGATTTTGGCTTTGTGGCATGTGCTGTGTTAGCTTCTGTTACGCTTACACACCAATATCTGTTTTACTATGTCTAGTTCCAAATTCTGGCAAAGACAGAGACGGTATTTGCAAATCGTGGGGGCAGCATCACTTTGAAACATTTGATGGCATCTACTATTACTTCCCAGGAAATTGTTCATATATTTTTGTGAAAGACTGCAGTGATCCAGAGCCTCAGTACACTGTATGGGTAAGACGGGGGACCTAGCTCAAGAGGGAAGTTATCAAGAGTGCATCCTTTCCCTTTCTTCTATTTCCTGTAACAGATTCCTGTGTGATCCCCTGCACAGATCCCAGCAAGCTGGTACTGAAGTGTGGGATAGAGAGAGAAACAACTGTTTTTGGGCTTGTAAACCTGTGTATTTGTGGTAGTGAAGTCAGGCACATATTTGTATCTATGATCCCATCAAGTGGCCAATTTAGAAGCCAAATAAAAATAGCATTCCTCACATCTGAACTAGAACTACACAAAAATGAAGAAGAGGCAAATTTGAGTTTTTTCATATGTTAACCAAATGTTAACTCCTAATTAACCTATGTTAACTCCTAGGACACAGAGTCCTAGGAGTATGCTATGAAATGCACCTGCTGGTTTTCTTTCCCATTACCTTCCACACCATGTCAGTTGTGAAGGCCTCCTTCCTATGACCCTTTTCCCACTGTATAATTCACCAAAGTGTGCCCCAGTCCTTTCCTCTGATATTAGGGCCGCCAAGTGGGGGCGGGGGGCGGGTAAACCCCCGCTTTGGAGGCCCTATTTCTGCTGCCATAGAATCGGGCCCCAGGGGGAACTCCGCCCCCCGAAGCACAGCGTGGCTGCATCACCAGAGGTGACGCAACCACGCCGCTCACGTTGGGGGCGTGGCCCCGATCGTCGGAGGGAAAACTCTATGTGAGCGATGTAGCGCGTCACTTCCTCTGATGTGCTGGCGGCGCGCATGCGCGCATCACCGGAGAGCTCCCGGAGCCCAGCGAGGCTCTGCCGCCGCCAAGGTAAGTAGACTTGCGAACCCTATCTGATATGCTTTAAATTTAAATTTAAATTTATTTATTTATTACTTCATTTATAGCCCTCTTTTCCAACTGAAACTTGAGGTGGATTGCAGAATGCATTGTGGTAGAATCAGACAGCATAATTAAAACAGTCCAATCTAACAGCATAAAAGAATCAATGAACAGTGATAGGACTAGAATTACAGATTTAGAAAATACTGTGAGCAACAAACAACCTAAGGCAAAGTATACTGTAAAAAATATGGAAAGTGGAATTACAAGGTATAAGAGCTAGATCTGAGTCCAGTAGCACCCTGGAGCAGGTTGGGAAACTCCTGGACATTTGGGGATGGAGCCTGGGGAGGACAGGGACCTCAGTGGGGTCCAATTCCATAGAATCCACCCTCCAAAGCATTCACTTTCTCCAGGGGAACTGATCTCTGTAGTGCAGAGATGAGCTGTAATTCTGGGGGGATCCCCAGCTCCCACCTGGAGGCTGGCATCCCTACAACAGTCGTGTTCTATTATAAAGACACCCTCCTTGACTGTTCTACTACAGTTTTTATCACTTTATAAAAATGTAGATAAATCAGCTGTGGCCTAACTTTACCACCACCAGTAGAAGTAGTAATTGATGCATACTTGTTCTTATAATAAATAACACAATAAATCCACATGCTTGTTCTCATCATAAATAACACAATAAATCCAGATTGTGTATTGAAATATTTGTATCTGAGTATGGAACACAGTGTGGAAAGTTACTCTGCTTCCTGCTATCATTTATCTTTATTAGGAAACAAGATGATTATGCCACTGTATGCAAGTACTGAACAAAAGCATGTACCTGTTATTAATATGTCCCTATTTTTTCCCTTTAAGATTAATAACAGCCCACATTGTGTTGGCTCTGTGTACTCTTGCTTGCGGTCCATCAGCCTGTTCTTTTTAAATCAGGATGAAATAATCATATTGGGACATGAAGTAAAGAAAGGCAGAGTCAGGTAAATATTCAAAAAGTGTTTTCTAAAGTTCTTGTAGCAGAAATGAAATATCAAGGATACATAGTTTCTGTTCTTTTCCCAAATACAGATGGTAGGTAATAAAACAGCCCACATGACCCTGATTTTGTCAGATCTTGGAAGCTAAGGAGGGTCAGCCCTGGTTAGTACTTAGATGGGAGATCACCATGGAATACTCAAGTTTGCTATGCAGAGGCAGGCCATGACAAACCACCTTTGGACGACTTTTGCCTTGAAAACCCTGCAGGGTCACCATAAGGCAGCTGTGACTTGACATCCACAAAAAAACCCCAACAACTTTGATGTAGAAAATATAAGGTTCTAATCATGTTTAAATGACAGAAGTATTTTATTAGTTGTAGTATTTTAAAATAAATAAACACAAAATCATATGGATTGTGTAAATTACTGTTAATATTTGCATGGAGAGCAAAAATAATTAAGAATTTTTTCCAGTACATTTTGATTATATTTTGTGTTGCAGTAGTTGCACACCTAAATAGAATTGGATCCTAACAGTGTATTTGCTGGTGCCAGATGGAGGAGAGTCCATAAAAAACTATACAGGGGATCCTGGACCTGCATGGATAAAAATGCATGTGGAATGGGCTGTTGTAACGAAGGAAATGGGCAAGATTGCCCTCTTCTGCTTCCACAGTGGAAAAGCTGATAATTCCAACCCAAATGAATTTCTATGAACAAGTATATTATTTCTGTATAATACACTATATAATACACATTTGTATATATAATATAGTGTATACAATACATATTAGTAAAAGTTGGCAGAATATACTGTAGATTTTGTATCTGTTAATTGGGACTCCATTTGTTTTTCTAGGTTGATGTTGCCCCAGACAATTGGAAATATTTTCATTGAACGATTAGCAGATTACATTTTGGTGAAAACTACCTTTGGCTTTTCCCTAGCTTGGGATGGAAATTCTGGGATTTATGTTAAACTGACGGAAGAACACAAGGGGAAAACATGTGGTCTGTGTGGAAACTATAACAGTGATATGTCAGATGATTTCTTATTACAAAATAGTAAGTAAATAATCCTCACATATTTTTTATAAAGACAATTCTTTTGAATCCTGTTCTCTCATAATCATCAGGAAACACTACAGTGATGGTAAATCTGTTCATTGTAGAGTCATAATTTCCCTCAGGTTTTGTCTAATTTATAGCAGAGCAAAAAACAGCAATTTAGGACAACAGAATAAGTGGCAACCCTAAAAATCCATTAAAAGGTAACTGCTTATTGCAAAAAGCTCAAGTGAAAAGGACAGACATAGCCTAGTGTCAGTGTTAACAATTATAGTGCCAGATGAACCTCCTTGAAGAGGGAGGTTTATAGCTGGGATACCACCATGGACAAAGCCCTCTTTCCAGTGGCTCAACCCTGAGATGGTAGACATTCCCAGAAAAAGGATTCATCAAAGCAGCCCAACTCTTGGGCAGGTTGATATGCGAGAAGAGATCTTCTGGATCTTCCAGTGGAGGAGTGGTATTAGTTTAGCATACACAATTACCATTCTGCTCATGATATACTGGATAAGTCTTTATGGGGGGAATATCTCCTCATTCAGAACCGATTGAACTCCAGCTGCAGATTTTGCAGCCAAAGAATCTATAAACCAGAAACCACAATCTACACCAATGATCAGGCCTATAGCTACAGTGGGGCCTCCCGGGGCCCAGCCCCCTGACTTCTTCCAAAGGCCCCCTGACTTTGGGGGAGGCCATGCCCACCTGCACTTGGCTTGGAGTGCAGGCGTGTAGCCCCCGCTTCTCCCTCAAAGCATTTAAAGGAACCCTTTAAATGCTTTGGGGGAGAAGCAGGGGCCATGTGTGAATTTCAGTTCCCCCTGACTTTTTAAAAGGCCCCCAAACTAAAAAATCCTGGCTACGGGCCTGCCAATGATACATGCTATCAACATTGTATTGATTACTACAAAGATAGAACCTGTGAGATATGGTGATAAGAGTGTCAGACTAGGACAGTGAAGGTTTGGGAGTAGGGATGCCAGCCTCCAGGTGGGACCTGGGGATCCCCTGAAATTACAGCTCATCTCCAGACTACAGAGATCAGTTCCTCTGGAGAAAACTGATGCTTTGGAGGGTGAACAATATGGCATTGTACTCCTCTGAGGTACTTTTTCTTCCTAGGCTCCATCCCCAGATCTCCATGAGTTTCCTAACCTGCATCTGGCAGCCGTACCCCCCCCCCCCACCCCCGCGGGGTGGCCGGGGTGACCTGGCAATCCTGTTTGGGAGCAAATCCTGCTCAGCCATGAATCTCACTTAGTCAATCATCAGCCTAACTTCTGTTAGAGTTTTGGTGGGAGGAGGAGAGGAGAAAAGGCAGGAGAGCAGATTTATTTTTATTTATTTTATTTTCATTATATTTATACCCCGCCCTTCCCGGTCTCGACGTCAGACTGACTGGCCTGTAATTTCCCGAAACAATAGCACTTAGATTTGCTGCTGTAGAGACTTGTTTCACATGCTTGGTAGCTTCTATAATAGTTCACTGAAGGAACTGAGAAACGTAGATGTACACCCTCCACACCCCCACTAGGTTGGGAGGAAATACTGCTAAGAGAATCCTAGTGAGGGAGAATCTACCCTGCCCTGCATGCTGGAGGATTCCGTGACTGTTCTGTCATACACAGTTCCTGTTGTGTAGGTGTACCAAACCACTCTAACATTGTTGCAGGTAGGTGCAAGTTCATTTTAATTTTCCCCCCTTTTTTGAGACAAAACCTTTGCAATATTCTACTCTTGTACTGACAAGATATTACCAGCTCGTGTGGTAAATTGTATTTCCAAATGTTGTTTGATGTAGGTGATTATCAAGAAGATATTGCTAAATTTGCCAACAGTTGGTCTGTGCAAACTCCAGATGATGCTACTTGTGTATCTACTGCCTCTGATTTTCCAAGTCCATGCTCTATTGATTCAGAGTCTTATGAGGTAAGCTAGCTAGCTTGCTTGCTGTTCATATATTTTTATGCAAAGCCATCTGCATGGGCCAAGTAGGTGTGTCTAGAGGAATAAGCTAATTATCAGGGGTGAAAACCCTTTCAGTGTTTTTGAAGAAATACAGGTGATCAAATTACTTAACTTTATTTCATGTATTTAGTAAATTTCTACATCATTTTTCTGTTCAAATGAACAACCAAGGTGGTTGCTAGAGTAAAACACAAAATAGAAGAGCAATTTACAATAAAATATTATAAAAAACTCCACAATAGATTGGGCGTGCTAGTGTGTACAGTACCTAATCTGCAGTTGATGTTTGCTGTTGCATGGATCTGGGTTTCGATTTCAATTTATGTTGTCTCATATTAACTTCAAGGATTTTGAGATAATGATGGGAAATGCCATTGAGTTTTTATCTTGTAGCAATAGGTGTTTTGCTATGTAAATCTTGTTGAGATTGGACAAAGTTTAAAGTACAATGACAAATAGGGTTTCTAGTTAATAAAAGTGACATGATGAGGAGAGTTATGTCATTTGCATTGCACTGAAAGCATCCAGTCGATTGGGGGAAATGTGAAAATAAATTAAATCATTTGGTGAAGCATATATCCACTACTACATAATGTATTATTTTGTGTTCAGACCATCTACATCAAGTGCCAAATACTCTTGCAGTTTCCTTTCCTCAGCTGCCACCAAAGCATAGATCCATACCCGTATATTTCCAGCTGTATGAATGACCTTTGTCAGTAAGTATGAGCATTTATTGTTTTTTTCCTTAGCTTGTGAATGACATTCAGTAATTCATAACTAAGTGGAACAGTTAGAAATGTGTTTGTTTTGAGTGTTTAGTTACTGTGAATGGGACTGCCACTCTGGTTTTGCCTAAGGTGAAGCTTAATGGAAGTGTGAATCTCCCTAGTTCAGGGGCCTCACCCACCATGTGAAATTTGCTTAGGTGCTGAAAGCACCCCTGCCTCTACTGGAGCAGCCTGTGGTTTTCTCTTCCACCTGGAAAGGAATGACTTTCCCCCTGGTTTCAGTTCCCTCAGGTTGGGAAGTGTCCAGGCTTTGCCTCCTGCCAGGCCTCTTACCAGTGCCTGCAAATTGCCCCCTCCCTCTATAACATTCCCTGTTGTAGCTGCTGTGTTTGTTTTCTTTCCCTAATTAATTCCCACTCCCCACCTTCAAGGTTTGGTATAGTGTGACAGGGAGCTATGACCTTTGGCAAAAGAATGTTAACTGTGTGTGTAAAATGCCACCAAGTCACAGCTGATCTATGGGAACCTAATAGGATTTTTCAAGGCAAGAGGAGAACAGAGGTGGTTTGTTATTTCCTTCTTATGCAGAGTGACCCTGGAATTCCTTGGTGGCCTCTCCATCCAAATACTAACTAGGGTCAACCCTGCTTAGCTTCTAAGATCTAACAGGATTGGGCTAGCCTGGGCCATCCAGATCAGGGCAGTGGGCTTTAGTAGGTGTAGACTTTTCCTCAGTGGGAATTAATTCTTAGGCTATCGACTCCAGTTAGGTCTCTTAGTAAAGCTTGGAGAAGGTTACTGGCTAGCTGACAGTGGGATAGGTACGGGTGAGAGAGGCAGGGGGAAGAAAGGGCAATGTGAGTCTAGAAGAAGCACAGAGAAGGCAAAAGAAAATGGCTGTGAGCTGGGTGAGGGTAAATACTTTGGAGCACAGGGTTGCTCACTGTCTGTTGGATCAAGCTGTCCTTGTTAGGAGTTTCTCTTTGCCTCCACTTGCACCATGGTACAAATAAATTAAATTGGACGACACTAGAACTCCATACTTACTTAATATCTCTAAACACGTACTCAGAGCGTCCTTTACCTCTCTATGGTTTCAATCAATGCCAACAGCAATTTTGGAGGGCTGATTCAATCAAACTCCTTTGGCCCATCGTCTATGTATTTGTGGTATCCAAGAACGTGAGGATTTACCGCACTATTATTATTTTTTTGCCCATTGTATTCTAGTCCGAGGGCTAAAATTTTTTATCTGGTCTTAGTGCTTACCCAGTTGAGGAAAAAAAATCTCATTTTTGTTATCTGACATTGATGTATATGTCTCTTATAAAGTTTCATTATTTGCCCTTGCTGCAAAGAATATACGTTCCACGGTGGCATTGGGAAGGGGCATTATTTAGGCTACTGTATTAAATTAGTCATATTTTGTCGAAGGCTTTCACGGCCTGAGTTCATTAGTTGCTGTAGATTGTCCGGGTTGTGTGGCTGTGGTCTTGGCATTGTAAAACCTGATGTTTCGCCAGTAACTGTGACTGGCGTCCTCAGAGGTATAACACAGAAAGATGGAGTACTCTCTGTGTCAAGGTGAGAAGAAAATGGTAGGCAGGTAATTTATATCTACTCCAGAAGGTGGGGTAGGACTGAGTCATTATCTTGTAGGAGTTCCCCAGGCTATGAACATGCTAATGGAGGAGCTTTCCTGAGGAGGTGCTTTTGCATATGGATTGTTTCCTGAGGAGGTTTCCTGTTTCCTGAGGAGGTTCTTTTGTATGTGGATTGGCTGTTGAAATTCTAATCTTATTTGTAGTGCTATTGGAAGATGTAGAGCCTTTTGTGTTTTTCAGGACAGGAAACCATGTCCTATTTATTTTTAATAAATACTGGCGAAACGTCAGGTTCTACAATGCCAAGACCACGGCCACACAACCCGGAAAATCTACAGCAACTAATAGTCATATTTTGTTAACAATCTTTGTATTTTTGTATATTCTGACTCTAACCTATAGTTAGTTCACAATTTGTGTTTTGTAATTTTGTAATGGCCAATGGCTAATTACAATAAACTAAACTGAAACTTTTCCTCCACTTACGTTCTACTGCTATTATTGTGAATAAATTAAGATATTAAGACTCCTGTGTGCTCTCATTCCAAGACTGTTCCTGGAACTTCTCACAATTTGTGGAAGGGGGACTAGGGTTGCCAGGCCTGGGTTGGAAAATACTTGGAGACTTTGGGGGTGGATCCGGGAGAGGGCGGGGTTTGGGGAGGGGAGGAGCCTCAGAATGGTCCAGTGCCATAGAGTCCACACTTCAGAGCAGCCATTTTCTCCAGGGGAGCTGATCTCTGTCAGCTGGAGATCAGTTGTAAAAGCGGGAGATCCCCAGGCCCCACCTGGAGGCTGGCAACCCTAAGGGGGACATATTATAGCATTGCTAAGGACATATCAGTATGCATTTTCTTAATTAAAGATTTGCAATAGTGATAGTGATGTTGTGATATTGCAAATATTGAAAATACTGGGATATGTTTCTTCAAATTTATTAATTCATGAGTTATTTATGAAAAAGATTTCTTGCTGTGCAAGGAAGCAGCTTGTGGTGCTATAGTTTATATATGCCGAGTCACTATTTTCATTGGAATTAATTTAATTGGATTAGATGTGGTAAAATGAGGGAAATCTAATGATAACAAAAGAGCACAATGGAGTACGATGTGGTGGTTTTATAACAAGTGATTTCAAACCACCAGCATGCATGCCATGCAATATATCATAACAAATGTAAAACTGCTGAAAGCAAGAAATTCTTCAAAAAGATGGAAGATTACATTTTAATGCTACTATAATGGTTGTGTTATGGCTGCTTTATATCTATTCTGACAATTTATTAATTCTTCACATTTTCATAACCAGGAACCATCTTTAAATAATTCAAGATGGGACCTTTTCTCTCTCTCCATTCCCTTTATTTCTGCCTGATTTTTTGTTGCTTCCCTCCTCATGTGGTCATGTGGTCTAAGCAGATGCTATTATGCAGGGCGTTGTTTTTTGTTTTTTTTAAAAAAATCATTTACTTCATGTAAAAAATAATTTACTTTCTCACTGAAACTCAAATTGGCTCCCCACAGTGAGCCTGGCACAGCATGCAGCATCTGCTGCTGGGCCTGCCGTGTCTCCTCCCCTCCCCTATCCAGGGGTGTTAAACTCATTGTTATGAGGGCTGGATCCAACATAAATGTCAGTTTGTTGGGCTGGGCCATGTTTGCCATAAAATGTAATGCCAGGTACTGGAGATATAAACTTTATAAGGGACACAGGCAAAACCGATTAATGATATTATTTTTTACTCAAAATAAAAAGAAAAGCAATTGATCTTCTTCGTGGTCTCTGTGCATCCCACCTTTGGGATATAGTGCACCTGCGCCAACCCCGATCAGTATAATGGAACGCAGAAGGAATTTTCATGCCCGCTCCCCGGTCACGTGCCGGGCTCCAGTGCGCATGACCAAGGGAGGAGTACGACAATCCCGCCAGTTCTCTTCTGACCGCTGCACTGGTAGGACTCTCTCCGCCTCGGTCAGTAAAACTATACTTTTTGGGGCCTTTTGGCCTTGTTTTATTCAAGTTTAGTTAGTTAGGAAAGTTTTTTCAGTTAGATAGCGTTTGTTGGACTTTATTTCTCTATCACCCCTTCCCCCGGCCTATGGCCGCGCGGTGGGGTTTCTTTAAACAGTGCTTGGAGTGCGGCAGCAAGATCGCCTTCCCCAGACGGATATTCTCTTTGCCTTTTATGCTTGGGGGAATCGTACCGAGTAGACTCTTGTGCCCATTGCTCCAAGTTCACCAATCGGGCTGCTAGACTGCAAGTGGCGCTGATGGAAGTCGCACTCTCTCCAGTGACGCCCTCATCTCAGGAGACGTCCAGACATGCATCAATGTTGATACCAGCATCGGAAGCAACAGTTGCCATGTCTTCGACGTCAACCTCCATCGATGCCGTAAAATCGGTGCTGAAACGCCCGATTCAGGCACAACAGTCCAAAGCCCATACTCCTTCCAAAAAACATAAGGAGGGCAAGGACGTCTGGCGTATCAAGCTTAAGAAGCACAAGAAAGGCTCTTGCATAGCTGCTTCGCTTGATTCAACAAGCAGAGGGCAGCCACAAGGTGCACTTCGGTCACCTTCGCTACGCCCCATCCAATCCCTTGACTCCGACCAGGAGCTGGACTTGACTCAGGTTCCTTGATCACCCGATGTCGAGAACCTGCACCAAGATCGAAGGAAACATAATGTCGTCCCTTCACCTCCATTCATCCCCGATGAGCAAGATTGATCTCCGATGCCGATTCCGCCCATGACATTGGATCAGCGCCAATGGCAATATTTATACGGCAATATTTATACTTTTCAGGATCAATGCCATGGCTCCCTCATCCTCCCACGGAGTGGGATCGTCAGTCTTCCTCATCCAGAATTTATCGGTACTGTGATCCCTTCCCAGCACCGGAATTCGTTAAACCTTCCCAATCGAGGCTGATAACAAAAGATCCAGGTCTTCAGCTGTCAGCACCAAAAAGCTCCCATAGATCAGTCGGAACCTTGGATGCTGATCCTCCAAATGTCGTTCTCTGAACCCTCAAATCCGTCCAGCTCCCCCAGCTTTTACTCGGATGACAAGAGTCCCCATCCACCGATAGAAGCGTCCCTTCAGCAACAAGTCGAGGTCGAGCTTCCTATTTCACCGTCGGAGGATGTTAAACCCTATGGGGACTTTATTAAGCTATGGTTCGTACACAGGTTTCGCCCACAGAGTCATCCTCAATCCCTTCGTCTTGTCTTCCCACCATCCGTTTTGGGCTCTCTGCTTTGGTGGACAGATCCTGTGAATTTCCTAGCAGGAGCCCCATTCCATCCACCCACATCAACACTCATGCTGACTACAGATGCGTCCCTCTGGGGATAGGGCACACATCTCAAGGGTCTTTGTGTAGGGGCTCGATGGGAGTCCCATGTAGCACACAATCATATCAATTTCCTGGAACTCCTGGCAGCGCTGTACGCACTCAGGTCTTTTTGACACCTAGTGACTGAGCAAGTGGTCACAGTTCTGACAGACAACACCACAGCCCTGTGGTATATCAACAGACAGGGAGGTACGATCTCCCGAGGGCTATGTTGCCAAGCCATAGAACTATGGGTCGAGTGTCAATCATGGAACAAGTTCCTAAGGGCCGCTCATCTGCCAGGAACACTGAACATTCAAGCAGACTTCTTGAGCAGAGGAGGGGCAGTGGAGCATGAGTGGGAGCTCAGTTGGATTAATCTTCACCCAATCTTTCGCCTTTGGGGCCATCCGGAGGTGGATGTGTTTGTGACACGCAGCAACAGAAAATGTCACCTGTTCTGCTCCAGAGTGGGGATAGATCCCCTATCTCTGGGAGATGGTCTTCTGGTACCGTGGTCACTTCTTCATGTGTTCCTCTTTCCTCCGATTCCTCTAATACCCAGAGTACTAGTCAAGTTAATGCAGGAAAAACCACACTGTCTCTTAGTGACACCGTGGTGGCCCCGACAACCTTGGTTCTCCACTCTGCTCCACCTATCCAAGGGCTCCTTCGTTCACCTTCCCTCAGCTGCAGACCTCCTCCTTGCAGAGAAGGGTCGGATTCTGCATCACGATGTGAAGCGTCTCAAGATCACGATCTGGAGGATCCTTTTTGATCGGTCAGAGACAGAATAGATCATGTCTTATTGAATTGTTGCAGACTGCCTACCCGAGTTTCTTATGCTGGGAAGTGGAAGAAATTCTTGTCTTACCTTATCTCGTTGGGATTGCCACCACCACCATCTGACCTGATGGCAATCTTTGGGTTCTTATTGTCTCGTTTAGACCTAGGACTCAGTTGTGCCTTGCTGAAGGTCTATTTAGCTGCAATTTCGGCCAATCATCCAATGATTGACAGTCACTCTGTCTTCTCTCACCCCTAGACCAAGAAGTTTCTTAAAGGTCTGACCCACATCTTCCCCCCATCATGTGGACCCACGCCAGCGTGGGATCTACCCACATGGGCAAACCATTTGAACCGATGGCTATTTGTAGTCTACAGCTTTTGTTGTTGAAGACAGCCTTTTTAGTCGTGGTTACCTCCACCAGGACGATGGGTGAGCTATCGGCACTTCACTGTGACCCACCTTATTTGAGTTTTCGTCATAATGGGGTCATGTTGGCTCCAGGTGTTTCTTTCCTGCGAAGGTTGTTTCTGAGTTTCACCTGCAAACGAACATTGTTCTTCCAGTGTTCTTTCTGTCTCCTTCAACTGAGGAAGAACGCCGTTTTCATTCATTGGATGTCAAAAGAGCTTTACTCTTTTACCTAAATCGAACAAGGCCTTTTCGGAAATCTCTGGCCTTGTTTGTCTCTTATGCTCTACCCTCTCAAGGGAAGAAGCTGTCATCCCAATGTCTATCCAAGTGGATTGTGGAGACTATTAAGTTGTGCTATATGCTAGCCAAGAAGTCACTCTCGGGTCCGCTACGGGCACACTCTACCCGGGCAGTGGCAGCATCCACAGCCTTCCTGCGAGGTGTGTCGTTGGAAGATATCTGCAATGCAGCTACTTGGGCCATGCCTCACATGTTTGTGAGGCATTATGCCCTCGATGTTCATCTTCATCAGCGTTCAATTGTGGGTCGAGCGGTGTTGCAGGCAGCGCAGATTTAGGACCTCAGCTATCTCCTCCAGGTAGGTGGGCATTGCTTGTCAGTCTCCCAGAGGTGTGATGCACAGAGACCATGAAGAAGATAAACAGGTTGCTTACCTGTAACTGAGGATCTTCGAGTGGTCATCTGTGCATTCACACCATCTGCCCTCCTTCTCCTCTGCTTTCGGTCCTTCCTTGCTTTCTTTGGAGGCTGAGGGCAGCGGTCAAAAGGAACTGGTGGGATTGTCATGCCCCTCCCTTGGTCATGCGCAGTGGAACCCGACATGTGACCAGGGAGCGGGCATGAAAATTCCTTTTGCTTTCCATTATACCGATCGGGATCGGCACAGGCACACTATATCCCAGAGGTGTGAATGCACAGATGACCACTCGAAGATCCTCAGTTACATGTAAGCAACCTGTTTATTCCTAGCTCTGACAGCAATTGATTTACTGGGGGAATCCACAAAAGCCTAGCTCTCCCACTGCTTCATCTCCCCCCCACCTCCACTCCTAGCAAGCCGAGCACAGTTTCTGACCTTTGCTGTTGGGCCTGTCGCATCTCCCAGCCCTCCCCATTGCCTCCATTGCTGGCAAGCCTGGTGTAGCGTCTGGCCTTTGCTGCCTGGCCCGCTTTGGCTGCCATCAACCCCACTGTTGTAGCCATGACCAGAGGAAGTAGGTTTGTTGTCTGACAACAAATGTGTTTTTTGGTGGTGATTTAAACTCCCCAATGTATTTTTTAAAAGATTTCAGATTTTTCTGCAAACCTGGGAAGTCCCCAAAGTTTGCAGAAGTATCCTTTTGGGGTAGATCTCTGTAGATGAGACCACACTTTTGCTATTAGAGATATAAATGTGATTGGTAGTGTATATGCACAACCTGCCAGAGCACCACATCTTCTGCCACTCTTTGCATGCACACTGAGAGGAGTAGTGGGTGGCAAGGTGAGGTTATGCAGTGGAGAGGATTCACTTTTAGCAGCGCAGGCAGGGCTCCTCCTCTTCCTGTAAAGTGACTGGTATAATGTGATTCTGATATTATATTATTTCCTGTAATGTGCTTGCAATTCAGTTGGTCCCATGCTATTAGCTGGGAGCTAAAAGGGGGTGCTGGACCTGAAAATCTTGAAGACCACATTAATACAACAGTTTATATTTGCTCTGATGCTGTGGTTATAACTATTGTTTCTTTAGATTTAAAGTTGCATTGCTTTGGTTTTGTAGTACAAATTGTTTTTAATGAGGTAGGTTTTTTCCTTAATTTCTTTAAATTAATATTGCTGATTTTATCCTTCAAGTTTTTATTATTTTATTGCTTTATATTGTTTTTAATTGTTGTAAGCAATCATGTGGACTTTTGGTTAAGAATGCAGGACAGAAATGTCTTAAACAATGGTAATGAAATAAAACCTTGTCTATTGCCTGGAGTTTTCTTTTTCAAGCTGTCTTGCTATAAGATCAGGATTTAACAATGCTGGATTAATTTTGCCATTTCAGAAAGGATGATGATGACACTTACTGCCGAGCAGTGACAGAATATGCTAGATCGTGTTCACATGCAGGTTACCCAGTACGAGATTGGAGGGATGACTTTCCAGCATGTAGTAAGTTGGGTGACAATTGTAATTTTAATACTGGATCAGCCAAAGAGTAGCTGGTGTATGGCTGGTGTATGAGTAAATGTTAAAAGAGATGGTTCAACCGTCCTAATGTCAAAGAGTATCTTTTGGGTACCAATGACCTATTTCTACTGTAGTAACCAGTGGACTACTACAGCTGGCACCATTGCGGCTGTTCAGGGTGAAACTAAGAAGAACTCCACTGTCCTTCAAATATTCTGAGTTGTCACCAACTGGCCAGGATAGTTCATGTAACAGAGACTAGACATTGAACATGAGTTGATCTTGAATCCTACAAATCAGCATTTCTGCATCTCCATATTCCTTTTTATTAATCCATGAGGGCTGTATGTATTATGAACTTTTAACTTAAAATGTATGCAAAGCTCAGAGTGTTAATAATTTCGGTTACTATTAACACTTTAGAGTAAGAATTATTGCAGTTTAGAAGTTGAGTATAAATTTTGTTGATATGCATTCTATTTCATTAACCATGTGAAATGAAAAGAATAGAGTCTTGCTTAACTTTGTATGTTTCAGCTGAAACATGTGAAGATAGCTTCATCCACCGGGATTGCATTAGCTGTTGTCCACCAACTTGCACTTTTGAGAAGGATTGCCTTGGCAGTAACCTCCATTGCTTAGATGGATGCTACTGTCCAGATGGTAAGCAAGCAACTTTTTATTAATATTTTAGTATTTTAGTGTTAAAGCTACTCTAAAAGCTATAGATTTTTTAATGGTTGGGACATATTCTCGATAAGCCATTTTTTGTGTGTGAATTCCCTGTAAATTTCCAGATATATATAAGTGCCTATAGAATTCTGCTATTAAGTAGTAGAAACTGCAATTAGGGATGTGCACAAACCAGCTGACGAATTGAAGAACTGACACAAGCTTCCACAAATGTTTATGTGGTTTGTGGTGGTTCATGAAAAACAGAAAGCAGTCTCCGCTGCTCAGCTGTTTGGAAACCCCTGCTTTCTGCTCCCCGTGGCTTTCCATGGGAAGCAGAAAGAAGGGTTTAAATGCTTGGAAATACATCTTGTCTGGGGACAGAGGAGATACACTACACAGCCAATCACCACACATCAAAGAAGAGGATGCTATAAGGTTGCCTCCACGCCTGATAAGAGATGGATGGAACTTGATATCAGGGTCTCAGTTAATTTCTCTCAGCATTCCACAATTAAGAAGGGTACCTCTGCCCATCAATCTCTGATTTTGATATGTTCATTTCCATTACTATGTTTCCTCCTGGAGTCAAACCCGAACAAATGGTGACCATATAAACTAAGCTTGTTATTCCAGTTTGGTCCTTGCATCTGTCAAGCAACTTTATTATGCTGTATGCTAATATGTTGCTCACTCTCTGCCTATATGTATGGACTGGCAACTTCCGTTTCAATGTATCTGAAAAAGTGTGTGTGTGCACAAAAAGCTTGTATCTTGAAAAAAACTTTGTTGGTCTTAAAAAGGTGCCACTGGATTCAAACTTTGTTCTTGGGACTGTGTTCTCTCTTCTATCAAATGCAAATCCTGTCTTCTTAAGCCAGCGGCTTCAACACTAGTTATTGGTTACAGCGATATGTTCATTAACCATGGTTAAAGCTAAACTGGATTCGACCTTAACTAAGGCTTGATGAAAAGCCCATTGACACCCCTGAGTACAGACACTCAATATCTTTCCTTATGAAGATAGTTTCAGTGAGTAGCCATGTTGGTCTGCTGTAGAAGAGCTAGGTTCAAGTCCAGTAGCACCTTAAGGACCAACAAGATTTTCAGGGTATAAGCTTTCTAGAGTCAGATCTAACAAAGGGTCTTATGACTCTCAAAAGCTTTTCTTGTGTAATTCATTTTAATGACTCTGAGGAGTATCCTTGCTACATAGTGAATGGTTAGTAAAGTTATGATATTTAAATGTCATGATTTCATTCATGCTGTTTTTTATAAACAAGGTCTCATACTGGACAATGGCACCTGTATTTCTGTGTCCGATTGCCCTTGCGTTTATCATGGGACAGCTTTTCCTGTAGGCTCAAAAATTGAGCAAGAATGTAGCAACTGGTATGTAATCTTCATTTTTATTGTCAGCCTGCCTGTAGTTGCCTTATGTTAAGATGTTTTCCTGATTATATTACACTGTAAAACTGCCTGGTTTGTTAGAAATGCAAATGCGTAGTGTAGATATTTTTTCTCCTAAAATGCTATATAATTAACTATTTTTTGCTTTTGTAATTTTAGTATTTGTATTGGTGGCATTTGGAATTGCACTGAGCATGATTGCCCAGGTAATTTTTATTGTTTGGGGATATGCGTGTCTATAACAATTTGTTAATGTGTTTCATTTTTGCTGTCTCAAGGGCTCTAGGTGGGTAAAAATAATTTAAAAACGATGGAAACAAATATTAAATCATCAACCAAGTCCACGTTTTTGAAAGTCCGACAACATTTCCAAATGATGTTCAAGTATTTTAAGTGTTTTTAGAAGAAGGAAGTTCATGGCTTTGGGTCAGATGGGAGGTGGCCCAGTAAACTTCCTACAGTGCAAGTGTTCCTGTGCAGGAAGCCAGCCATTATTGCCTCTGGCCATGCATTTAGTCAGTCTTTATACGACGTGTCTAAAAATCTAAGAAACAAGAGCATAGTAAACATTTCTTATTGTCTAGCCAGATGACCAGCTTTTCATATATTTGCATGTTCTTTGTGGTAACATGGCAAAGCTGTGGCCACTGTCTTCTGGAGCCACTAACCGAGAATTCCTTTTTATGCATAATTGGAGGATTTCCTGGTCTGATTTTAGAGATTTTGGCTGTAATCCCATTTTGGTGTATAAAAGAGCTGAAGGGGGTGTTCATATTTTTCCGTATGAGCAGATTTCCTATAGTCCTTTGCAGGCTGCTTTTGAAATTGTCCTGTGTTTCAAAAGCAGCTTGTGATGTGTCATGGAGGACTTATTGTTGGGATGGGGACAATGAGTGGGGTAAAGGGCAAAAGAACATATTCATCAACTAATGTCTCTACATTCTTATATTTGCTTTATTGCCTCTTATTTATTTATTTAATTCAATTCCTATCCCTCTGTCCCTACAAGCAGGGTCAGGGAGGGTTACAACATAGAATATACCAAACAGAGAATAAAACAGGTCAAAAGCCCTAAAATAACTATTATAAATTCCAACTCGATCACAAGATGGCATTTCCAAAACTTATGGTATCCATGGGGATAGATGCATATATTGTGTCTGGGTTCCCAGAATGGTAGTAGTATAGTCACCGTCAGAACTCAGAGGGCAGCTTAAGCTTCACCATCCGGTTCTCTGAAAATGCAGTTTTTTATGTCTATTTGTCTTTGTCTTCAGCTGAATGCTCAATTGTTGGTGATTCTCATTTCGCAACATTTGATGGACGCCATTATACCTTCCTTGGGATATGCCAGTACATTCTGGTGAAAGGCACTGGGAAAGACAAATTCACAATTACTTTACAAAAAGCTCCTTGTGGTCAGGTAAGATCACACTTTAATTAAACCTTCATGCTGATAAGTAAATACCTTACACATCATATGCAATTAGAACTAACATATTCGTTAAACAGGATTAGTAGTAAAAATCCCAATTTTTCTTAGTACTGAATATCTCACTGATCATAACAGATTTTATTTCAGTTATAAGTATTGCCTTTTGTAAAACCAATTGCTCCTTTTACTGAGATAAAATCGACAGAGCTTTTCATTCATGCATGATTACACAAGCATCTACATATTTGGTTACAGTCTGAGCAGGTGTCTGAGACAGATAAATGCTCTTGGTGACAGGGCTGAAGAGGTTTGATATACTGCCAACTAGATAAGAGGCATTTGAAAGCTGACTGAGATATTTATTAGATATTTTATAAGCTCACTCATTTCTTGGAACAATAAATCTGAGAGCTCACAAGAATATTAAAATATGAACGATGGCTATTTCAACTGGTGGCTGGTTAAATCCAGAAAATAATAAAATTTGTTCCAGCATTAACCCCTTTGTCTCTCGACTTTTGAAACCTTTTTGCCATTTCTGGAAGAATAACAACATATTAATTCCTGAGATGAAGCAGCTGCATTCCATGGGGAAAAAATGCTCTTCATTTATACTCTAAAGTGAACTTTATATATGATAGTGTGCTGTTGCTTTTGCCTGTAGCTCTACATCGTTTAAGGGCCAAATACGAGTACATGTTCAGCTCCCTAGTAGAGCAAATAACGCCCTCTGGGGCCATTTCAGGTTGGAAGGAGGGAGGATGAATTGCCTTCTCCCTCCCATCCCCCCAGACTGGGACTCCACAGTGTTTGGGAACAATTCCCAGCAGCTGCCATCTGACTTGGGGGAATGAGAGTCGAGTAATGACTAGTTTGTCCCCAAGATTTGGATTCTACAGTTACAGTTCTGTGGCAGTCGTTGGAATTCTTTCTGCTCGTATGTGCTGGCCAAAAATGGAATATCATCCAATTTAGTGAAGATACGTATCTTTTTCCTTTTCTTGGGAATTTCCACCATGCTCATCCAGAATCTTGATCATGCGTGCATTCAAGCAATAACACTAGTTCTTGAAGATGTAAACAAGCAAGTGACTCTGAATCGGGGTGGTGAAGTTCAGTTTGCTTCTTCCAACCAGGGATTTAACTTTAATGGTAAGACACTTGAAACATATTTTTCATTGAGGTTCATGTTGTTTCTGAATATTTTTTAAATAATATTCTGTTAGAATATTCTAACCAAGCTGTTCCTGGGGAAATATGCAAACATTTATGCCAGCCTGTGGTGTGTGCATTCTTGCTTAAGGACAGAGGATGTTAAGGTGGGGTGTTTTTTTTATGGATAAATGAAGTTTTCTAGCTTCACAACGCTCTTCAGTTTTGGAATACTTGAACAATGGGCCAGATTAAATAGCCAAAAGCACTAAATGGTTAGCATACAGAAGTCATTCATCATGTAAACTGAATGAGGTAGCTGGCCCACATCTCTAGCCTTCTATATCTGAAAGAAAAATGCATGAAATGAAGGAAATTCTATAAGTTCTAGTTATGGTTAATTGATATATTATGCTTTGGCAGTGAACAATTAGCATACAGATTTCACTCATCATGTGAACTGACTTAGGGAGATAGCCCACATCTCTTGAGTTTTAAATGTGAAAGGTGGGAAAGGCATGAAATTAAATATGTTTTATAGACTACTCTTTTCACAGACAATTGATGAATTATGTTTTGAGTACCTTGTCAGGAGACTTTTCTGGGGATGTAGTTTAAACCTATTTTACTCTGGTATATAATATATATAAATTAGCTGCAAGGAAATCAGTATTCATTCTGAAGTGTCTACCATTTTGAGGCTGAATTGACCAGAATCCTCTTTGGGATTAGACCTGCCCCCCCCAATTTTCCCATTTAAGGGGGCTTTAGCTGGTCTGGAAAAAAAATTTCATCCTTCTTGGGAGATATTTGTTTTAAATTGGAAAAAGATCGCAGAGTTCTTTTTAAAAATTGTATCTTTTTTTTTTTTTTAAATCAGTTTATTTACATGTTTTTACATGTTGAATACAATAAAATAATGTGTGGGTGAAGGTATCTGTTGTGCGAATATCACATTAGCTTTTTGATGAAAATGGGTGAAAATAAAGCATTCTTACATCTTTGGGCTATTATTTTGATTTTGTTTGCAATTTTTTTTTCTCCTGTTATCTGTAGGATATGTTGAAGTGCGAAACCTGTCTTCACTGTTTGTGCAATTGAAAACTAAATTTGGATTAAGAATTCAGTTTGCTAAAGATGGAGAGAGAATATATATTCAACTCAGTTCTGGCTGGAAGGGAAGAACTCTGGGTCTGTGTGGAACTTATAATGGAAATTTGAGAGATGACTTTCTGTAAGACGGATTTATTTACTGTTTTCAATTATTTAGCATTTTACTTAACCCATAGAGGAAAAGGGGCCTAATGAATGTATATTTACATAAGATAGTGAATGTAAAATCCACATTAAAATATAGAATACTGTACTGTACCTCAGGAGTCCCCAGCCTTGCTGAGCCTGTGGATACTTTTGGAATTGGGAAAATGTAGTATGCAACACCACAAAATGACTGTCATGGGAAGCAGGACCAATGTCAAAATGGCTGCCTAGGTGGCAATCACAAAATTTGGTGCAGTTCCAAGTAGGGCTGCCAGCTCTGGGTTTGGAAATACCTAGAGACAGGGGGGTGGGGGGTGGAGCCTGGGGAGGTGAGGGAACTCAGCAGTGTATAATGCCATACAATCCACACTCCAAAGCAACCGTTTTCTTTGAGGGAACCGATCAGCTGTAATAGCACCTGGCAACCCTAGTTTCAAGCCAAATTGGAGCAGCTATTTCTGAATGGCTGCTCCCTGCACACTAAAAGCAGCTCCTGCTCCACTGAAGTGTAGGATAGTCAGGACTGGCTGTTTGCTTTGAGAACCAGGAAAACATCAGTGGGTGCCATTGTACCCGTGGGCACCAGATGAGGCATCACTGCTGTGCCTTATCAATTTAACCACAGTTATTTTTTCATTCAGCAAAAACAATAATATTGTATAGCTCTTGTGGAGAAATGCTCAGTCTCTAATTTGGCCTAGCATTTTGAATCCCATAGCAGCCACTAAGTAAGTTTTGTACATTCTTTTACCATAAAGCCACTGAGGCTGTCATCAAGTAGGCACTCTCAGATGATCCTGCACATCAAAATGAACATGGAAAGAGATCTTCCATTATTTAAATGAGTCTCTATCTCATTAGAGAGATTAAATGTGTTAAACTAGTACCTTCTGTCAAAGCTGAACATGTTACTCTGTACGTCTTCATCCAGATTTGGACTCCTTTGCTAATACAAAAATTATCAAAGATTACATCTGTTTGGCTGATCTTAAAATTGTTAGGCTCATTTTGAAATTTCACGCATTTCAAGTTAAGGCTATCTGTGTTTCTCTTCATAAGGCAGAAAAACTGTGGAGATGTTTCCAGTCTTCAAACTGATAGCCTGTGCACATGGCTGTGATTGCTTTGGGGAAAGTCTGTATGAATACCAGCTAGAAAGAAACCAGTCATGCATGACATGTGCAAGATTCAACTTTTGACATGCTGTGGCAAATGCTGCTTGTTGAATAATTTGCATTGGCCTGTCAGAGCCTAAATCTGGTGCATGGCAACAGATACACATAACTTTACTGCCACAGGCTGGGAGCCAACATATACAGGCCTTTTTTTGCAGCTATATCATCCAGTAAATATGCTCAATTTTGCATCTCCCATAAAGTAAGGATGGGAAGGGGAATTGCTTACAGAACCTGGAATGAAAGTGCAGTATGTTAGAATAAAGTAGAGTGCTTCTTTAACAGCTGATAAGCAGCAACAAAAGCCTAATTAATAAATTAATTGTCCATTCTCAGTGCAGGCATTGTTCTGGAGATTAAATCTCCTATGGTTTTGGACATCAGGCAATTACCCCTGGCTCAGCCTTAGCATGGGCTAGGTCAGTGTTGTGCCTTTCACTACCTGCTCATCAACATATGTGCTGAGAGGGTCTGTGCAACTTTACCCCCCTCCCCAAGTTGGTCTTCGAATTCATTGATGCTGTTCCATCCCAGGAGATTCCTCATACTCTCAAGCAAATAGCCATAACAGGTTGATTTAGGATAGGGTTGCCAAATCTGTTTTGGCCTTGAGCGTCTGAGGCACGCGCGCCGCGTGTGCGTCACCCGTAAGTGACGTCGCACGCTGGGGCGGGGCCACACCATTTGAGGGGAAAACAAAGAGTTTCCCCCTCAAATGGCATGGCCCCGCCCCCAGCGTGCGACGTCACTTCCGGGTGACGCGCACGCGGGGGTGGGGTTTCCCCCGGGCCCGATTTTCGTCGTGTCGAAAATCGTGCTGTCAAAGCAGGGGATTCTCCGCCCCCCGGCACCATTTGGGAACCCTAATTTAGGAAAACTTCTTTTCATCTAAGGGGTGTCTCAGGGTGCATACCATTAAATTCTGTGCTGTCCCTTCCTAATGCAAATTGATTGTCCCAGCTGTGGCACCTAGCTGGAGCCTTATCAGCCACATTGATCACCGAGCAAATTACATCATTTCATAAGAACAGGTGAAAAAGAAAGTCCAGAGCCAGTGGTGAGCCAATCAAAAATTCCTGTTTGCTTCCTTAGCAGTCAGCTAATCCCACACTGCCTAACATAAAAAGGGGTTGGGGGATGACTTGTCATGCTGGTGAAAGCCTAGGATCCAAAGATGAAACTGTCCAAGGCAATCCTCAGACATTTGCCATCTCCTGCTTGTATTCCCTCCCTTAAAAAAAGCAAAACGTGCAAAACTGTCCCCACTCATAGGCATGAGCAGGAAATAGTTTTCAGGGTTTTGATGTACTGATGTGGTTTCTACTGCAATGCTGATGATACAACAGTCCTCACAGTTGAGTCAGTATATGCAGCATGATGTGAAGCTCTGTCCAGAATGGATTTTTTTTTGTGTGTGTATCCGATTTCCCCTAATTCCAGGGCAGTACAAATCACTGACCCAGACTTCAATGCAGGCAACTTTAGGAGATGCTGGAGTAAATGAATGGATAGTGCTGTTAAGTATTCCACATCACAGATGTTTTCTTTGGAGCAGTCTGCTTCCCCTGCTTTATTATGCTCTTTTTCTCCTCAGTTCTCCAGCAAGAATGATTGAAGGAACTCCACAGCTGCATGCCAATGCATGGAAGGTTTCTTCAGCATGCCATGTGCCCATCAATGTCCCTGTGGTTGATCCTTGCAACATTAACCAACAAAATGGTGCATTTTACTTTTCAGATCTTGATATCCATTTATCATAATCAAATAATTAGATCACTTTTTGGGGGGTTTCTCAGGTTTATTTTTTATGTCGCGTTTGGGGATGACAATTATATTATAGAAAGCATTATATTTTTAAATTAAACCCAAATGTATTTCCTGTTTGCTTAAATCCCATTTATTTCTATGACCATTTACTCTTAATTTTAGAGGGCATTATGCGTATTGAGAACAGTAGGATGAGGATCGCATCCTACCTTTGCATGCATTATATTTTACCGAACTGTCACTTTGGAGTGGTATAAATTATTATATTTTGCTGTTTGTTCTATTAACATAAAAAGCTAAACTTTTGTTTTTCTTTAGTTGGTTATGCAACCCAGTGCGATTTAATCAATCAAGACCTCTTTGCTCCATGTCATGCCTACATCAGTCCAGAATTGTACCACCAATTGTGCCGCTTTGATGCTTGTAAATGTGGGAGCACTTGTTTGTGCAATGCTCTTGCACACTATGCCTATGTATGTCACAAACATGGAATTGCTGTTGACTTCAGATCTCACGTCTCATACTGCGGTGAGTTACTGAGTGCAGAGGACAAAAATGTTTACCAAAAACTGAAGTGGTGTTTCAGCCATATAAGGCCCTTTTTCAAATTGGGTCCACATGTGGAGGGAGAGGTTTAACCCTTCCACCATTGCATGGTTTTGCATATTGAAACTGTTGAGGGCAAAACAACAGTTTCAACTCCTCTCTTTCCCATATTGTACCCATATTTTTTTCTTTAAAATGTGAATTGTGGGTGGGGTTTATACATCTGGATATTAGCTTTAAAAGATGTTGGAAGATCTGATAATAGATTTCCTAGTGTCTCACCTGTTTTCATTTTAATTTGTCTTAAACAGTTTGAACTGTTTGAAATGCTGTATTTTGTTTTATTTTTACCTAAAATTAATGCCATGCTATGGCCTAATTCACTGTAATCACAATTAGTGGTGTACCAAGGGCAGGGCAGGGGATGCACTCCACTGTGGGTGCAGCATAAGGAAGGTCTTTGAAAGGAGGCCCTTGAAGTCATGTGGCATGCAGACAAATGTCTTTCCTTTTATTTTTAAAATGCAGTTCTGGCTGCAGCCACTAGGGGTGCAGGGAAGTCCTAGAGTGCAAAAAGCACTCTAGGATTGGCTAGACTTCCCTTTCTCCAAGACTGAAGCAAACGTGCTTAAAAGATTGTACAACCAAGCCAGCACGCTGACAGCTGCTACTGTAATTGCCAGCCTGCAGGTCATTTTCTCCAACAGTCTAGCCTTTCTCTTTTTCTTTCCTTGTACCCAGCTCAGCCAGATCTTGCAAAGTGGTAGTTAACAGTGTTGCAGCAAGTGAAAACAACCTTTCCCTTTCTTAATTTCTCTCCCTCTTTTCCACACATTTCTCATTCATTTCTGTCTCCCTTCACCTAATTTTTCTGTGTCCGCCCCTCTTTATTTTCGCTTCTTGGTCTCAAGACCTTCTCATCCCTATCTTGCTTGGTCATAGAATATATTATTTAAGAGTACAATAGTAGGAAAACTTAGTTAATATTATGAACAGAAGGCACTGGGTTTGCTGGGCATGCCCCCCTCCACCTTCAGTTTCTACTGCAGAGATTTTCTGGTTTGACTTTAGTCCTTTGGAAACAATGAAGGATAGGGGCACCTTCTTTGGGCAGTGGTGTGTTTCTTAACATCCAGTCTGGTGAAGCTTGCAGTCACCATTTTGTGATGCTTCGGCTAGTGTTAGTTAGTAAAAGTTAGTTCAAATACAGACTCCTAGCTCTCAAATATGCCTTGTGGATGTTTGGGATGGTCAGTTCTTGGGCTTCAAAATGGAGAACACAAGCCCTCCCAAGTGCCTGCTCAGAACACGAGTGGTGTGATGGAATGTTGTTGTTTCTTTTGGCCATCAAGTCACAGCTGGCTTATGGGGACCCTGTAGGGTTTTCAAGGCAAGGGACGTTTGGAGGTGGTTTGCCATTGCCTGCCTCCATGTCAGCTCTATGAGGTTGCCATACGTCAGCTGTGACTTGACGAAATACATATATATATTCCCAACTGTGCCCCCTATGTGCAGATACTTATTTCCCAACTGTGCTCCCTATTTGCGGATACGCAGAGAGTACATGGAGGGTAAAGAGATTTTTCTGCACACTTGGGGTACTCCCCAAGGTTGCAGAAAAATACAAAAAGTTAAAAAAATATACCGGGGGGTTAATTCCCCCCAAATTATAAAAAGAGGTGTCTGCACTTGCACAGTCCAGACTCGGGGTCCCCTGAGCCGGTCTTGGAGCTTTGCTTGGCGGCTGGCCTCCCTGCTGTCAGCTAGATGGCCATGGAGCCACGGGGCAGGGAATGACAATACCAGGTCCCTTCCACTCAAGCAGCCTCTCCGCAGCCAGCAAGATGGCCCTGGAGCTGTGGGGCAGGGGATGCCACCACTGCCGGGTCCTTTCCAGGTGAGTGGCCCCACGGCTAGCAAGATGACCCTACCACCTGGTTCCTCCCAGGCGAGTAGCTTCCCCACGGCCAGAAAAACAATGATGAAGCCACACAAAAGGAGGCAGAAGAGTGGAGTGGGAGATTGTCGAAGGGGGAGGGAGAAAGAGAGTGACAGACTGAGAAGGGGGGAAGAGGACATTGTCTGAAAAGGGCTGGGGTAAGAGAGGGATGAGACATACAAGGGATGAGAGAAGAAAGGGGGTAAGACAGGATTCCTAGAGAAGGGGGTAGAGAGGAAAGCTAACATAGAAGGGGTGAGAGGAGAAGGACAGGTGATGGTGAAGGAAGATTGATAGATAAGGGGTGGGTGCAGAAAGACAGGAGGGAACTTTGACAGAGAAGGGGGGAGAGGGGAGAAAAGGTGGGGGGATGCCCCCTCCCTGCAAGTGGCTTGCAGGTCTCCCTTGTATATATGTGTGTGGGCGGGTATTAAAAATTATCTGGTCCGGGTGCCAAAAAGGCTAGGTACTCCATTGATCATATTATGTAGTTCAAATTAATATATTGCAAGGAAAGTGACACTTAACAATGAGTCTAAAAATATTGCTATGAGGAAATGCTGATTTGTTTGTTTTCATACCTCATTGAGGGTTCAGTGGTAATTGATCTTGAGAACTTGCTTTTCAAACCCCATTCTGCTAAAAACTCCTTAACTAAATTCAGGTGCGCTTCTTAACCTCAGTTTCTTGACCAGAATAATGGTGGCTTCTGCAGAGAGGCAATTCCCTGTTTTGCTTTCATTGCTCCTGCAAATGCAGAGGCTTTCTCAGTGGCAATGAAACTTATGCGGGGGGGGGGTGTTACCCCACACTTTCCCCTCATGCCCACCATTTCCTCACTCCACAGCCTTTTTGCTGTGTGCTTTTTAATTGGTAGGAGGAATATCATGGTAGTGTGTGTATGTCTGTGCGGGGAGCATTGGCAAGCACCCAGTGAAATGTAGTGTGGGGAGTTGTAGAAATGGTCGCCTTCCTATCCATACTTTCTCCAAACGATTTTTAGTATGATCTTTACAGAAAGGTTCTATCAAAGCACATAAGGGAAACCAGTAGAGAAGCCACGGAAAACCTGGAAGGTGGGCAAATGAAGGACAATGTTGTAAAGAAGCCCAAATAAGAACCACTGCCATTTGAGTGGGGAGTGTGGATCAAAAGCTCTGTGTGGAAGCAACCAGTAATATTCATCAGGAAGCTAAAAGAGTTGTTATGAAGGAAGCAAAACTGAGACGATAATGATATTTTCATATTATAAAGTATTCATGGTAATAACCACAGTTCTTAAATAATTTTGGACTTCTTAATTTTTTTGTATTCAGGAAGCAGCATACAAAAGACATACAAACAGCTTCCTTTATAATCTGTGTATTGTCTGTCATAAGATGTCTAGGTCAAGAGCCATGATGTATCATCTACACAGTGCCTAACACACTGGTACTCAGTTAAAATTTATAGCTAAGACAAGAAGAGACCATCTTCTAAAGACCAGGAGAGACAAGTTTCTTTTAAAAATTATTTTCACCTTTCCTTCATTTTTAAATTCTGGAATAAGATTCTTGTTGATGTTTAACATTGTTAATGCATAGTGTAAAATTCTATTTTGCATCATGCCATAGTTCTCTGTTTGAGGAAAAGACAAAAAACCTGTTCTCTAGAAGAAAGGAATTATTGTCTCACTGTGCATCAGTTCATTTGACACCCCCTCCCCAGCTGTATCTGTACTTTGTCAAGAGTGAGATGCTAGTCCTTACCTACCTGTCCTCCCACCACCAGGGCTAATAACAGCTCGGGTGAAGGGTTTATCAATCCACGAAATGGCATAGCGAGAAAGGATTAATTCTCCCCCGCCCCAGTAACATAGAACTGATGCACTATGGAAGACCTCCCCATGAGCTGCTTTTAAAGAAAAGTAAAGATATGTGCCCTTTTGTGTGCACATCCCTCTTACCTCATTGAAGGGAGAAATTGACTAAATATGGAGATCTCCTGAGTTCTTTTTGAACTTTTTCTTCCTATTCTTCCTGTCTTTCATTTCCTTACTATTGTTTCTATGATATAAACGAATTTTTTTTTTCACTAGCTCAGGGATTACCTAGATATGATAGTAGCAAGACTCAACTCCGATCCTGCTAGAAGAATGGAAGTAATTTAAAGTGCAACAGTGGCAGGCAGGAATGAGTAACTGACTTCTTCTACCCCCTACCTCCTTATTTTGAAGGTATTTTTTCCCCAGTCTCAGTCCCAGTTTTGGAGCCCTAGTGAGATAAAACAGGTTTTTAAAAATATTGTTTTGGGGCAGGAAAGTCCAAAGCAGAGGGGGAAGAGCTCAGTTCTTCCTTCCCGCCCAACCATGTTGTACTTTAAACCCCACTCAGACACATAAACACCCACATCTCCTATTTCATAGGGAGATCCCTGGTGGTAAACCCAATTCTGCACATCTTTCTTCTGTTGTTACATGTAGTGTGGCCCTCATCAACCAAAAGTATATTCAGCAACATTTCAAAAAGACAGGTACTTTAAACCTCAAATATTAAGGTACATAACTATTAATTAGAATTACCTTGGCTTTTTTTAAAGCTGATGTACAGAAAGAAAAGATTGCATTCTGTGTTTTGTTAAAGAATAACAGTACATCTCAATATCTGCCTGTATTTTATTTCTGATAGGTTAACAATGTGCTTCCCCCCCCCCATAGCATTAGTGTGTAAAAGTGGTATGCAGTATCACCAGTGCTCTTCCTTCTGTGAGCGCTCCTGTTCTTCCTTGTCTTCTCTGGATGTTTGTGATCGTGACTGTGCGGAAGGGTGTAATTGCCCAGAAGGGAAATACTTTGAAGCATCTATCAACTTTTGTGTGCCAATGTAAGTTTGTAAAATGTCAGGAAAAATTTCCTTGTTTGCTTTAATTGATGTTAGAAATGCAAGGTACCCCCTTATCATAAAGCAGGATCATCTGCTTACCAGCCATCTACAGATATAATCTAAATCACTGAGAGATCAGTGTGCTATGATCAGAGATCAGTTGCATCTACCCACCTTGAGTCCTTTGTTGGAGAAAGGTGGGCTAAAAGTGTACTAATAGTTCAAAAAGTGTCCTAATAAAAAGGCTTTTTCCAGGTAGTCTGGCTAGTGAGCTTCAGAAAGCAACATTACGTGTTCACCCAGCATCAGTAGAAAACCTGACTTGGGGCAAATTGTTTCCTCAAAATGATGCCCGGTTGCATTCTAAGCATGCTTAAATCTTATTCGTTGAGGATTTTTAAAGGAAAACGTATTAAGGTTAAAAATCTATGCCACTCATATTTTAGAATTTAAGGCAAAAAAATCCAAATGCACCTCTTCCATGGAGGCTGAGATCTGATTAAATATTTGTCAATTTGCTATTCTTTGAAAGGAAGCCAAAATCTTGTGCCGGACACTGGCCAGCTGACTGTGCCCTGATTCCTTGGATGACTGTTGTACCAGTTCTTCATTTTATATTATTGAAAGGGATGACAGATTGCCAAGAATGCAAGCAAATAATAGTTAATTTCAACACTGCTGGGGAAATCAATACTTAGTTTAATTATCTCCCTGTGAACAGAAGATAACTTCCTTTTTCATAGGCTACAACACCCAGAAACAAAATATAGAGAAATTTAAAATTATGCAGCAGGTCTTGTCTAAGGTGAAATATGTATTTTAAATGTTAGTGATAAAGTTGGTGGTAAATTTAAAACTATGTGATAAATCAAGGCTTTGCATCATGTTCTGTTCTATAATGTATATATAAATTCACTAGTTTTGTTTTATCAGGTCTAGCTGCCAATGTTATTATAAAGGCAGAAGTTTTCAGCCTGGGGAAATGCTACCTACACCCTCAGGTTTATGGTAAGCTCCAATACCAAGAATTCTCTTTTTTAATAATATGATGTAACATACAGTATGTAATCAGCAGACCAACATATATGCTCAACATTTGAAGCTGCAGTTTTCCATCTAAGCTCAATTGCTTCTAGAGGGTTTTTTTAAAAAATTTTTTATATAAAATAAAGAATAGAATTTTTAAAGAGGGCCTGAATATTCCCTGCTGATTTTGCTAGCTGGTTTTGCATTAAAAATATGCTGTATGTAATACATTTTGAATTTCTGCAATGTCATGAGCTCTCTTTCAACTGTTTTCTTTACTGGATATACCAATGCAGGCTCAATTCACAAAAGACCTTCTGTGTATGATGGCTGTGTGTATGGAGGTGATTGTACAACATTCACCAGAACTGGAATTGGATTTACATTTCTGATGGAAATGTGGACATTGAAGTACTACTAATCTCTGCTTAGTTTGTATGCATGCCAGTTTAGCCATTTATACCTCTGTACAGTCTCAGCAATGTGGTTTAGGACAATCATCCTTGGTACTGTCATCTAAAAGCAGAGGTGGACTGACTACAAGCTTGGATGGTCTACCCGTTAACAACAACAACAACAACAACAAAAAGACCAATGGATCCACCACCATGTTTTAAATGTAAGGAGCAAGAATGTATGTTCAGGATCTCATCACAGTTAATGTATATCTTCGTTAAATTATCCTGAATATGCTCTTGCTTTTGAACAACATATTGTGTTGCTGGATCAGACCTAGGCCCATTTAGTCCTACAGCCGTCAATCAGCTGCATATGGGAAGCCCAGTTGCAGAACATGATGATGATAAGATATTCCTAACCTTCCCTCAGTATCTGATGATCAGATCCTGCTTCTGAACACAGACATTCTACGCTGTTAGAATTTTCTGGCTTGACGTTGTCTAAGTGTCCCTCATTCCGCATGCCAGAAGTATCTTGTGCTTTCTACAGCTCTGTCCAGCCAGTCAAGTATTCTGCCTCCTGTTGTGTTCTTAATGTTAGTGTTAGGTATCAAAATAAGAAGGCAACTTGGGCCCCTGCCACACGCAGGGGAAAAGGCGGTAGAAGGCGCGGCTTTTAAAAGCCGCGCCAATGTTGACACGGCGCGGCGGGATCTCACGGACCCCCCGGCTGCGCCGCCGTTTCTCCCCGGCGCGATCAAACGCCGGGGAGAAAACACAGCCCTAACCGGGGGCCGGCCGAACTGCGCATGTCGGAGCATGCGCAGTTCGGCTCCGGGCCGGGGTTGAGCCGGCGCAAGGGAGCGCCGGCGATCAGACGCCCGGGAAGAAGCGCCGCGTCCACTTGAACCACCGAGGTAGGTGGTTCATTTTGCGGCGGTTCTTCCCGGGTTTGGGCCAGTTCGGGTGCGGAAGCAGAACGCTTCCCAGATGTGGTGGTGTGATCGCGCTGCTTTGATCCGCCCCCAAACTGGCCCGCAACTGGCCCAAATTGCCGCGTGTGAACGGGACCTTGGTTTCAAACAAGAGCACAGTTTAATAACTCTATCTCTTTCTCTGTCTGGAGCTACCATGAGCACAACTTCCTTTCTCCCTGTTCCTGCCCATACTAAATCCTGGAGTGGCCTAGGGCAGTCTACAACACAGACCTGGATTGAAAGAACAGAGTTGTCACAACATTGCATCTCTTAGCCAAAACAATCTGAAGCACCATTTGGTTTTACTCAATTAATTAATTAAATATTTTGACCCTCCCTTTTTCTAGAGAGTCAAGATGGCCGGTGCAAAATGTAGAAGTGCACAGCTGGTTCTTAGGAAGGAGGAATGAGCTGTTTGCTTATTGCAAAAATATTTGTGCAATCAAATATGCTCTCTGAATGTTCCATTTAGGCTTTTCTACTTTTTTCTTGCTATGGTACTTGTCAAAGGTTATGAATTTGACTGTTCTGTGGAAGATCACAACCATCATCTTTCAAAATATTGTTTGTTTTGCAAAGTCTTCCTATACAAAAGCATCTGTGTGAATTAACTCTCAACTAGATATAATATCTCAGTACCAGTTACCGGAAGCAGATGAACTGGTATTAAAAAACACTTGTAAACGGTAGAATGTTTGAGCTTTATAACTGAATGATTTTACTGCACTGAACTTAGTTGCATTATACAAACATTTTTGAAATCTTGATGTTTGCAATGAACACTAGCATTAATTTTTTACTTGTACATTTAAGTTGTGAACTTTTAAAATATTAAATTATATAAAATGTCTGTTTCTGTATATGTTGAATAGCCAATGTCTGAATGGAACAATGAAATGCACTGAAGCTGCTGCAGTTCCTGCAGGTAAATCTCTTGGTTACTCTATATGAAGAGTCTGGTTAACTTTCTTGTTGAGTCAGGTACTACAGGCTCCAAGAAGGACTACTGAATGTTGATCTGGATTCAAACCCCTGCCTACCCATGACTTTTCTGTGTTGTCTTTCATCCTCATTCCTTTTTCCCCCATAGAAGAACTAGTTGGGGTTTTTCATTTTCCTCAGTATCTCTAAAAGACTGACCAATATTTTTAGACCTGTCATATATTTTGCTATAATATCTATGAGCAACTGATGTATGAGCAACTGATCTGAGTCAGATTTATTTCCTGTCAAAAGCGTAGCACTGTGGCTTTAAGGATATGTTCCCCCAGATGTATTGAGAGCAAGTACATAAAAGAGTTTTGACTTTGTGATTGGCTGTACAGGTGTAACACTTTTCCAAAACCTGAGCTCCAAAAAATTGGAGGGGGAAACAAACAAACAAAAATACTAGCACAGACATGTCTCCCTGAACACATAGAATTCCTTAATAACCAAGACCTTGCAAGAACAACTCTTGATCTCTTGATTGACAACTTGGGTTGCCAAGACAACCCCTCATAATGATGAGTCGTTCAACCATTGTGAGGTGTTGCTTTGTCAAACTAGAATCAAATGGCAACATGATGAGGAGGAGGTGGTCAGGAGTGGAGATGGAGCTGTGGAGACAGACAGGACAGAAGTGAGGCAGATCTGAAGCAAGAAGGTGGGAAACTGCTGGAGGAGGGAATAAGTGGGAGTTCCTTTCATTACCTTGTTCATCTACGTTTTTGAGAAATTAGAGCAAATAGAGCCAGTGTGTCATAGTGGTTAATTTGTTAGACTCGGACCTGGGAGACCCAGTCTGAGATCCCCACTCATCATGAAAGTACTTGGCCACTCACTCTCAGCTTACCTCACAGGGTTGTTTTTAGAATAAAAGGAGGAGACAGGAGAACTATGTATGCTGCCCTGAGTTCCTTAGAGGAAATACAGAGTAAAAATTTACTAAACAAATAAGAAGTTAAGTGATTTTCATTCTCACTAATTTCAAGGGAAACTTAAGCACATACTGCTCTCACCTAGCTTGCAATTTATTTTTGAAGTTCACACATGCCCTGAAGAAAAAATCTACTATGACTGCCGATCTCATGTACCTGGCTTGCCATCAGCTGGAGTGAACTGTGAGCTATCTTGTGCAAACCTTGCCATGAACTTTACCTGTACACCATCACCACCATGTGTGAGTGGTTGTGTCTGCCCCCCTGGGTAAGTGTTGCCAAAAGTAAGAGGACCAGAGAGGTCTAAAAAGTGTTCTTATGGATTTAATAACTGTTTCTTCTTGTGTATAATATTGGGTTGGGTTGTACATAATACTGAATTTGTATGAAGCCATCCTCCAGAGCAAAGGACTTTCTACTAGCATAAGAAGCATTATGGAAAAAGATGTCCCTTCCGCTGGTGGAAGGCTACTTGTGCTGGAGGAATGTATTAATAGTATATAATGCAATGTTAAGTACTCCCCTCATCTTGGGGTTAAAGTCAGCCTGAAAGAATCATATGAGCAATAACAGCCTTCTGGAGAAGCACACTGACTCAGCTTTAAGAGCATAAGAGCAGGTGTGTTGGATCAGGCCAATGGCCCACCCAGTCCAACACTCTGTATCACATAGTGGCCAAAAACCAGGTGCCATCAGGAGATCCACCAGCAGGGCCAGAACCTCAGAAGCCCTCCCACTGTTGCCACCCCCCAAGCACCAAGAATGCAGAGCATCACTGCCCAGATGTAGTGTTCCATCTATATCTTGTGGCTAATAACCACTGATGGACGTCAGTTCCATATGTTTATCCAATCCCCTCTTGAAATTGTCTCTGCTTGTAGCCACCACCACCACTTCTTGAGGCAGTGAATTCTATGTGTTAATTACTCTTTGGGCGAAGAAGTACTTCCTTTTATCTGTTCTAAGCTTACTGCTCATTAATTTCATTGAGTGCCCGTGAGTTCTTTAATTATGAGACGGGGAGAAAAGTACTTCTTTCTCTAGCTTCTCTATCCCATGCATCATTTTGTTAACTCTGCCAGCAACCATCCCCTTCTGGCTCAGCTGGCCTTCATAATGTATCCCTCCTGTCAAGGGTGGTATCCTAGGGTGGCAATTGAGGTGGATGCCAGAGGAGGCTGTCATGAACTTTACCTGTACACCATCACCACCATGTGTGAATGGTTGTGTTCCTTCTAGTGGGAAACTCTGGCAGCTGGTAAAACCCTATATTGGATCTATTGCTTGGGACTGAATGGTGGCAGTGTTGTCCCTTAAAATAGTAGTTATGAAGACCTGGGGTAGGGAAGTTGTATTGACTGCCTTCCCGCACGTGTGTTGCTCCATCTTGGATAGAGGTGGTGCGTGGATGGGAAGATACAAAGGTGGGAGGAGTGTAGGCCTAGAAAGACATACAGGGTGATGTAATGATGTTTGCTATATGTCTGCTCTCCATCCCATCCCTCAAAATGTGGCTGGGGAGGCTTTTTTAAGTAGTTCCACTTCGACCTTGGTGTTGTGAAATACCAGAACTGTGAACAATAAGATCTCAACAGTATCTGATCTGTTGCACGAGGAACAGGTAGACCTGACCTGCTTGACTGAAACTTGGCTGGATGACTCTGATGTGGTTTGACACGGCTGACACTGGCTGGCTATAAAATCCTTCACCAACCTTGGAAAGATGGGGGAGGGGTAGCATGGCTTTGAGCATTTCTGTAGCATTTCTGTGAGTCTTTCTCCATCAATAGGTACCTGGTGCAAACAGAGGCTGGCATGGATTGTATGTATCTTGTGTTGGGCACCAGGGACAGATTAGGGGTCCTGCTAGTGTATCGTCTGCCTAGCTTACCAGCAGGGTCTCTGGCTGAGCTGATGGAAGTGGTGTCAGACTTGGTGCTAAGGACCCCAAGAATTATAGTCTTTGGGGATTCAGCAAACATTTGTCTGCCTTACTGGGTCAAGTTCAGGATTTCATGGCTGCCATGACAATCATGAGTCTCTCTCTGATTGCAATGGGCCCAACACATGAAAAAGGACATCAGGTGGACTTCTTTTCTGCACCAAGCATCTTGCCAGTGATCTGATTAGGGGGCTGGAGGTTTGGCCCTTGTCATGGTCAGATCACTATTTTCTGAAGGCGTGACTGAAATTGCTGCTCCCTTCTGGTAGGGATGGTGGACAGATTTGGATGGTCCACCCTTGCAGATGAATGGATCCTGTTAGTTTCCAGGCAGCTCTGTCTTCCATGTTCTGTGAGGCCCTCAGCTCTTTGGAAAACCTTGGCAATATGAAGCAGACTGGAAGATGACTAGAGCAACACTGGCAGAAGACTTGGGCTGAATCAGACAGAGCACTTCATAAAGCCCATTTGTGGGGCTATAAGGTGGTGGTGATGGCAGTGAAGAAGACTTTCTTCTCTACTACCAGGGGTGTTAGCAGAATCTCATCCAGCCCAATTGTTCAAAGTAGTTCATGACTTGATAACACCCAAGTCTCACCCTGCTGGTGGTGAAAACTTAGCCCCCAGCGATGATGTTTTTTGAAGGGTTTTTATTAACAAAATCTCTCTCATCCATTCTGACTTGGAGGCCAGGTTGTTGTTGTTGTTAAAACTTTTATACCACCCTCCACACAGAGCGGACTCAGAGCAGTGTACAGAAATTTACGTCAAGGAACATTAAAAACAATTTACTAATCTAGGTACATGTATGAAATACAGAAGTTGTAAAAGAATATACAGACGATATACAGAACTCATAAAAACATAAAACCTATATGGCGCCACAGTATGAATTTGAGCCCCGATGGCAGGGGGAGAGAGTGAAAAGGCAACTGACTGATTGCTATTAAAACAATGCTGCTGTTCTCAACCATATGCTTGGTGGAACATCTCTGCCTTGCAGGCCCTGTGGAACTGTAAGAAGTCCCGCGGGGCCCTGATATAATTCAGCAGAGAGTTCCACCATGTTGGAGCTAGGGCTAAGAAAGCCCTGGCTCTGGTTGAGGACAGCCAGACACTCTGTGAGGCAGGAAGTTCCAGCAGATTTTGTTCTCCTGAGTGCAATGCTCTCCAGGGGACATACCAGGAGAGGTGGTCCCACAGATACATTGGTCCCTGACCATTTAGGGCTTTAAAGGTAAAAACCAAAACCTTGAACCTGACCCGGTACTCTATCAGGAGCCAGTGCAGCTGGTGGAGCACAGGTTGAATGTGTACAGTTAATGGTGTCCCTGTAAGGACCCGGGCCGCTGCATTCTGGACCAGTTGTACCTTCTGGATCATTCTCAAGGGTAGCCCTGTGTAGAGTGAGTTACAGTAATCAAGGCTGACTGCAAATCTGGTTCCTGAGGTGTCAGAAGCTTATGCTTGTCCTTTTGATATGTATAGTTTCAGATTGATCCTATCTATGGATGCTGATGGAGTCCTTGGGGAGTGTGATGACTCCAGGGTTTTCTGGATGACACATCTGCCCTTGACTCATTTCAATCTGGCTTCAGGCCTGGGTTTGCTACTGAATTAATTGTACTGGTTTTAAGTTGAACAGGGGACAATCTTCCCTGTCGATACAGTTGGCCCTCTCAGTGGTCTTTGGCTCAGCTGACCACTCCATTCTTATCCACCTGTTTGAATATGGAGTTGGTATTAATGGCATAGCCCTTTGGTGGTTTCACTCTTTTCTGTCTGATTGGACACAAAGTGTCCACTGGAGGTGCAGAGTCAACTGGGTGGAATTTATCATGTGGAGTGCCACAGGGTTCTCTTCTGCCACCCATGCTCTTTAATGTATATATGAGGTCACAGAGTGTGATTGTCCAGGGTTTTGGGGTTGGGTGTCATCAATATGGAGATGACACTCAGATCTATCAGCTGTTTCTGATTCACCAACTCTCTCTTTACCTAGACTCAGCTGATCTGGCCACGTTAATCCATGCTTCTGCCTTTGAAGACAACCCGGAAACTACAACTGGTTCAAAATATGGCAGCCCCACTATGGTTAGGGGCTTGCTGCCGGGAACATCTGTTGCCCATTTTGAAACAGCTACATTGGTTACCAGGCTGTTTCCAGATTCAATTCAAGGTTCTGTTCATGACCTTTAAAGCCCTTCACAACCTGGGTCCTCCATATTTGAAGGCCTGTCTCCTTCTGTATATTTCTGTGTGCCAATTACAGTTGTCAGGCAGCTGTTTGTTGACTATCCCACCACTTAGGGTGGCCGATCTGGCATCGACCAGAGCCTATGTCTTTTCCATTGTGGCTCCAGCTCCCTGAAGACAAGAGGGGCCCCCTCCTTGGAAATTTTCAGGAGGCACTGCAAGGGCTGCCTGTTTCCCATGGCTTTTAAGGGGGTCTGTATGGCAGACATCTTTTAAGAAGGGAGGGGGGGGAAAGAGATTTGGGGTTTACTATTTTATTTTTTGCTTTTAGCAGAATATGTTTTAACTATTATTTTAAGCTGCCTTGAGCCAAGAGGAGAGGTGGGATATTAATGTTTTAATAAGTAAGTAAAGTATTGGAATGGATCCAGCAGCTCTAAGTAGCCTGTTTTTGCCTTAATTTGCTCTCCCATTGTAGGAACAGACCTTTAAGTCAGAGGAAGGCTACTTAGACTGGGGTAATACTTCAGACTTGAGCCAACATGAAAGCTGGGGTATAAAAAATAAATAAAATAACTGAATAAACTTTGATTACAGGAGTGGTAGGAAAGAGTTACAATCCACCCTCTTAGCTTAGATTCCTAGCCTTAGTTATCTTCCTGGAACATACAAAATGTCACAGTGTACTTTTTGTTACATTATAGAGGACAATTTATATAAGATCATCACGGATTAATTATATCAGGTAGTGATAAGTTTAGTATTTCCTGCTATTCAGGCTGCAGCTAGCAGGGGCTAGTCTAATCTGTGCCACTACTTTAACGGAAAGATAGTCATGAATTCCTATAGAGAATTTTCTGTTTTAAATGAATCTTGTTGTTTTGAAGAATGGCAGAACATAAAGGAAAATGCTATGTCCCTGATAGCTGTCCATGTACGTGGAAAGATTGGGAATATATGTCAGGAGAAATAATAGCTACACCTTGTTATACATGGTGAGTAATTTTACTTCATTATCAAAGTATTAGTTTGTAACGACAGAGCGAATTTTTGTATTAAACATTATTTTATGGGATCACATTAGCTTTCAGTGAAATATGTAATGCAATAATTGAATAAGAAAGAAGTTCAAGTAATAAATCAAGAAAAAATTAAAATAAGTTTGAAAATAGAACCAAATAGCATATAAAATAATGGCTGCTGGTCCTATATTCTGTCTGTCTTTCTTAAGGCTAAGAGTCCAGCTGCACCTTAAAGACTAACAAAATTTGTGGCAGGATATGAGCTTTCATGAGTCACTGCTCACTTCGTCAGATTGATTAGATTGCTAAGATGGCTACCTATCTTGATCTTTCTCAAGGCTATACATTGATATAGTCCTGACATAGGTCAGATAGTAAAACCAAGCATGGTATAGTGGTTATTGGATTAGGATTTGGGGGACTCAGGTTCAAATCCCCGCTGCGCCATGGAAACTTGCCCGTCACACGCTCTCAGCTGAACCTCTCATACAGTTGTTGTAAGGATAAAACAGAGGAGAGGAAAACAATATAAACCACTTTGGGCCCTCATTGTTAAAGAAGGTGGGGTGTAAATAAAGTAAGTAATTAAAAAGGTGCATATGCTACTTTTAATTAAGTTTGTGCATGGAGATTAAATTATAATTTTGTTACAAAAGTCTACTTACTCTTTATAATGCGATAAATGACATTCTCAAGTACGATAGCATTACAATAAAGCAAATAATATTCCAATGCCACATTTTTAAAGCTTGTAGAACCTGATATTGGCAGTTTGGATTCCTCTTTAAGGGCTCAAATAGATGAGAAGAAGATCACATGTCTTGTTTGGTCTATAAAATGCAAACTGCAGGTTCCTGCAGCCTGAGTTTGCATCTGGGCTGTGCACAGAAGAGTGAGGAGAGTAAACCCTTATACCTCTACTTGATTTGGTATATTTGAAACCAGGCTTCTTGCTTTGTTGTTAGAATTTTAAAGAAGAAAAGAGGTGTCCTTTAAAAACAATAATTTTTCTACTGTATTTACTGAAATGCAAGACTAGGCTTTTTCAGGTACCCCAAAAGAGTGTGTCGACTGTCGTCTTGCATTCAAGTTACAGTTGTATCCTTTAATATAATGTTGTTGTTTTCTTGGTATATAACTTTTGTAAGGGGGGGTCATCTTACATCTTTCTTTTGAGTAAATATGGTATTTAAAATTCTAATGACAAAGGAGACCAATTCTGAAAAGCAAAATCAAGTGTAGGTTGAATGGTTAAAGTCCCTCTCCCTTCCTTGTATGGCTTCAAGGCAAACAGAGCCTGTAAGAGCCTGTAATTTTGCATGTTATGAATAGAATGAGATGTGTGATCTTTGTTTCATTTGTTTGAGTTCTGACCTGGAATATCCCAGGCTAGCCTGATTCTTTCAGATCTCAGAAACTAAGCAGAGTTGGCCTTGACTAGTATTTGGAAGGGAAACCTCCAAGGAATACCAGGGTCATGATGCAGAGGCAGGCAATGGCAAACCACCTCTGAAACATCTCTTGCCTTAAAAACAAGTCTAGCTGACCACCTAGTGGTGCATAACGCTAGAGCTAGACTTCTGGCTGCAAAACAATGTTAGGATCTCCTGGCTATTCTACACACGATGCCATACAATAATTAATTCATTTGTTTCAGCCCTAAGACTGTTTGCCACTTGCATTGTAATGTTTGAATATGCTATAACTTGGACTGTAGTGTTCACAATATTTAACCTCAAAATATGTGTACTCTCGTGTATACTAAAATTCATGGAGAATACCGTGGAAATTTTGAATTTGTATTTATTCTCTGGATTCAGAATTATTTTAAAATTATGAAAATCCTTTATTCAGGATTTTGTAAAATGTTCATATCTTGATTGCTAGAAGCAGCACGATGAAACAACTGTACTCATGTATATTCTCTCTTTAATTTACGTTTTGTGGAAAGAGAGTTGCATTTTGGTTTCCAACCTGCAATAGCTTTCTACTCAAAAGTTCTTGAATCATTTTATTTTTTTCCTTAGTGTTTGTCGACGTGGGATATTTAATTGTACTTATTATCCCTGTCCTGCTGTCTGTACTGTCTATGGGGACCGGCATTATTACACCTTTGATGGACTGGAATATGATTTTGTCAGTGATTGCCAGGTTTATTTGGTAAAGGTAAGACCTTTCTGATTTCTAACATGCACATAACCGTATTGACAATAACAAACAATGAGTGTCAGCTCAACATCTGAAAGAAGATACAATGGTAGAAAGTGGGTGATGGCTGCACATTCCATATGTGTGAGCTTTATGTTCTGGATCTGATTAAGGAGAAGAAAAGGAACAGGAGACATGGTGGCTCTCAGTGTTTTCCTCCATTGTGCTTTGGCACAAGTTGCTTTCTTCTCATTCAGGACTCTGGTCTTGTTTGAATGACCAAGGTGAACAAAGTCCATTTCCACAACAGAAGACAGTGATATGCAAGTGGAAGAAAGGTATAAGAATCTGAGCCAGTGAGTGGTGCTATCTCCCCTTCTTTCCTTATCCTGGGTATGTTTGTGAAAGCAAGAGATTTCTTCCCCCCTCCCCCAATTTTTGGGAGCACAAACGAGTATCCATCCAGTTGTATATACACAGGAATGCTGATCAGAACCTTCCTATGACATCTCTGTTTCTTAATAAGATGTTCACATGACCAGTTCTCTCTACCTTGGGATAATTTTGCATTTAGCATGTACTAGTTTCCCATGGTACACTGTCGTGGAAAACATCCAACTTGGATGGACTAAGTAATTCTTATGCTTTTGTCCATTTTCCAAAGCATGGCAGTGTTCATTATATGCTGTGAGCCTTTTTGGGCAAGGCATTGCTTTAAAGTTGAATGTTTATATAGCATCAGGCATAAAACTGACACTTCAATAAATAATTTATAAAAGCAACAGATATCCATAGAAAAAATATATAAGAGAAATGGCATGTTATAGCCAAAAAGACAAAGTTGCCACATTTCATTTTGAACTCTAATTTTAAAATCTTTTAAAGGCTTCTGAATCAGAATGTATTCTTCACGATGAGGATGGTGAGCTTTTGGTGGGCATGGTCTGTTTAATACCAGTTGGCTTACTTTAAATGCCATCTTACCCTGGCCCTCCAAACCCTGACACTCTAACCACTATGCCACACTGGTTTTCATGGGGTGGCTGCTGTTGAACATTAGCAAGTAGCAGGGCCTGGGTAAATTACTGGATAGCAAGTCGCTGGTAGTTGCTGATGGACCTGGCCCTGATGCACCTTCCCTCAAAGGCCAAAACATGCCTGGAAAGGCTCATGCCTCCTCCCCCTACATTTTACTGACAGAAGCCAAGGCTTGAAATCTGGCAATACTGTTGTGGTTGCCTATCAATGGCCACTGAGGGCATTCATGTCTTAAAGCTACAAGTGCTGCTTCTGTCATTTTTGGGAGTGGATAACTTTTTTTTAAGATTTCAGATCTGAGGTTTATAGACAGATATGTCTTGTCTGTCTAAGGCCCTACTCTCCAGATTTAAATAGGCACAGATGGGGCCATGCTGAGAATTAAATATATCAATAATATTCTCTGACACAGCTTAAAAGGTTTTGTGACTATGTACTTTACAAACTTAAACCAGTTTTAAACCAGGCTGGATCATATGGAACTGCAGAAATTGGCGCTTTTAGATTGCTAGTGAAGACATGTCTAATATCCATTCTTATACCCACAGAGAGCCATAATTTCCTGAGATCCTTAGATGGGAGTCTTAGCAATTCTACTGCTTTTGGTTTATAGTGTACATGTGCCCTTTACTGGCTTTTTAAAAATAATAAATACAAACACATAAATAATGAATGTCTTCCCATACAAATATACATATGACTTTCCATCCTTTTGCATTTATGCATATTAGCAAATTCCATGTCATATGTCACAGTGGTCCATATTAAGCTACCTGTTCTGCTGGGGGCATTTGGAGTTCAGTAGAGAAATTGGCATTCACAAAAACAAGATCCATGGCAAGTTGCCTGCACCTCTTTCATCCAACAAGCAAGATGACACAAGTGATGAAAACATTGCCTGTGTAGATCCATGATATTAGAACTAGCCTTGTTATTTTCTAGACAGGTGCAATGCTAGCCCTACCAAGAAACCTTTTCAGACTGTGACTTTTTCCAAAGGAGGATGATATGCCATTTCACAATAGCCAATTTGTTCTTAGCATTTGGATTGCAAGGGACTGTTGAAGGATTTCCCTGGCTCTAAAGAAAGAATGTTGACTATATTCTAGACCACGGATTCTCGTACTATGTCATAGTGCACTTTCTTGGCAGAACTGGTTGTTGATCTGGGAAGGCAGTGCTCAGGAAAGTGACACTTCAAAGGTATCTTCAAAGGCAGCCCCATGTAATGCATGCTACAGTAGTCCAGTCTGGGGATTATAGTAGTGTAGATCAGCAAGTTTATGTTTGCAGCGTCTAAATAAGGGGCCAGTTTATGAGTAAAGTGTAACTGAAAGGTACTCCTAGTAATGGCACTAACTTGTTTATGTACTTTTAAGCCCAGGTCCAAAAGCACTCCCAAGCTCTTAACCTGACCAGAGAAAGCTGAACTCCAACTAGGCCTGGTAGATCAACACCAGTCAAATACTCAGCCATTTTACAAGCTTCACCTCCGTCTTGTCTGAATTAAGCTTCAGTTTGTTTACTCTCAGCTGCTTGACCACAGCCTCAGGACACTGTCCCAGGACATTCACAGCTCCATCTGGAGGCTTATATAGTTGAGATGTAAATATGAGTGTCCTCTGCATATTTTTGACAGTCCACTCCAATGCTCCTGATGGTCTTGGTCAAAGTTTTAGCATAAATGTTAAAGAATATTAGAAATAAAATGGACCCTTGGGGTATCCCATACATCAAATCCCAATCAACTGATACTGCCTTTCCTATGGAAATTCTTTGCTTCCTACAAACAAGAAAAGAATAAAACCAGCAAAGGGCTGTCCCTTTTATCCCAAGTATTTACTGTAGTTGAACCACTAGAACATCATCAACTGTGTCAAATGTTGCAGATAGATCCAACAGTATTAATCCAATTGTAGCTATAAATCATCCTCCATGGCCAAGCAATCTCTGCTTTTCATCTGAATATATGAGAACAACTGAACTGCTAAATCGACTGAGATTAGTGATACCGGATAGGAATGAACAAGCTGTAACAATCTAGACAGGATGTCAGGTCTTAGTACAGGAAATACTTGAATATTCATCTGAAGAAACCACAATTGGTCCAGCATGTGGCTGCTACAATATTAATAGGGGCAAGCCATAAATAGAGCTCCAGTTTTTGAACACTTGTACCATATCTGGTTAGCTGCCTAGTGCTTTAAAAAAAAACTTGGGGGTCAAAATACCACAAGGACTATCTCACAAGAACTATTTCTTTTGATTTGAAAATTTGAACACTAGGACTATCATCTAATGTCTTGTTTTGTATGCTTCCACTGTATGAGACAGGACCTTCAGGCAGTGTTACCTCCAATGGCCTGCTTCATTGTTTGGGGAAATTAGCAGGGGAGGCCAGAAGGGGATCAAGGACGCCACATCAGTTTATACCAAGGTCCAGTACAGTAGGAAGACTCCAAATCTGAAGAGTAAATTAAATAGGTTTTATTGAAGAATTTCCCTAATTACAAGCACACTAAACATTTAAAGAGAGCAAGCAGCACAGAACAAAGAAAGTAGAGGTGATTGATAGTGAACAGAAGGGTCAGTTATGGAGTGATACTACATGTCCAGATGTGCAGAAGTCCTTGAAGAGAATAGTGCCAATGGCCAGCGTTATATGCTATGGGAAGGCCCGAAGAAGAGACTCTGGGAGTGTACTCAAAGTATAGGCGCCATCCTGAGTGCACACACTGATGGATGAATGTGCATGGATGGATATAGACCTTGGATTACAATGCAAGCCAATAGGACGTCCTGAGGGACTTGTCCCAGGTGAAGACAATCTGGACCAATGAGGGGCGTCCTGAGGGACTTGTCTCAGGTGAAGAGCCAATAGGACGTCCTGTCACCAATGAGGTACCAGAGGGGCAGGGTCTGGATTCACAATAGGGTGGGATTAGCCAGGTGCTGGGTGGCTAGCTGAATGGGTTTAATGACTCCATCCTGATGGTCCTGCCACAGCAAATTGAATAGGTTCCCAGGATTAGACAAGAGGTGGGAGATGCATCTTTGATTAGTGTCAGGAAGGATCACTAAACATTTGAATGTATGATTGGTTTATCTTGGTATCCTGAGGGATGAAGCAGGAAAGACAGTTGTGGAGACAAAGAATTCTCACATAGACATAGGTGCACACAAAAGGGCTAGGTGAAGTTTTAGAGACAGAAGGGCTATTCTGCAGGTGGCCTCTGAATAGCCTTTAGAAATGTAGATACTTTACCTGTGGAACTCATTGTTATTCCATAAGCATACCTCTGTTGGGTGGAGGGGGAGGTTGGTGGTTGCCTTGGAGGGCTGCCTTTTGTCTCCTAAAATTAAACCCTTTTGCAGAGCCTTGGCTTGCTCTGTGTTTCAGACCAGGATTGCCTTCCTTGACCTGAGTTTGTGGGTCTCTGGTTCAGGTTAGAAGTGGGGTGCTCTGCTATTTAAGGCTACCTGTGAGTAAGGCACCACCTCTGGGCTACAGCAGTGAAGTGTGGCATGCCTTCCTGAGGAAAGCATATATTGCTCCTAAACTGACTTTGTTGAGGTGTGAGGGTGTTATGTCTGGCTAATTTCATTTTTGACTGAACAGTTTTGATTTCCTTCTCAGTAGGTTTCTGTAAGCTTTGTTATTTCATTCTTGTTGAGGTGAGAGGATTTATAGTTTACTCAAAGCTTTCACCGAGTTCTACAGTTTGAAGCATTTTTCATCCACCCTAGCTTACTTCCAATATCAGAACCAGGATGAGAGAAAAATACTTCAAACAAAAGCATGTAGAAAAGTAGGACAAGGAAGGAAGCAGGAATTGGTTCCCTTTAACCTACGTACTGTTTGGTAAGTAAAACAAAATCACATATCTCCCCACTTTAAAATATATGGGTAGCCATGTGACCAAATAGGCCTTTATTGTGTGTAGTTCGTCTTTTGATAACAAGGCAGGCAAAAACTCCAC